TCAACTCACACTCTCTCTCTATCTCTCTCTCTCTCTCTCTCTCTCTCTCTCTCTCTCGAAGCCATGATGTCGCCGCCGCGCCGTTGAGCTGCACCCAGTTCAGTTGTGCTCAGGGAAAACTGCGCCCGCTCTGTGCGCCGGCGACCCGCCATTTTAGTTTCACTTTCACTCCTGAAGCTAGTTTGGCTGAAGTACAGTTTGGGTCACTTTAGCCTGCATGGTATGATTTTTAAAACTTTTTAGTATTATTTTTTTTAATCCAATGGAAATGGCAGTCCACCTCAGTCAGTAGCAACCATAATGTTAAGATACCTGACAGATTCGATTTGACATTCTGAACTGCATTCTGCTGAGCTGACCATGGTGGCTCAAGGTGCGTTATGCTGCGTTCAAAGACTGCTGGCAAATCGGAAATACCGCATTCCCAACTTACCAGTCTTCTAGAACGTGGCCTTTTAAATTTTTTTGTCGAATGTCTCAACGGTTACAATGACCTCTGTTTTTGTGGCCAAAGCAGAGCGGGCGCGATGTCGGCACACATATCAGATTGTCATTCGATGTTATCCCTTTATCGTGAATATGTAGCCAAAGACCAGAGCGTGGAATATTATGGGAATTCCCACACAGGCTTCGGCAGAAATAGACGAGAAAATTATGATACTTTGATAGATTTTGTATGATTTTATATGATTTTTTTTGGGAGGGGTTAGCTGCCATATTTGCTTGGGTGCATTTTATCTCCTCTCCCAAGAGTGCGGCTACCGAATGTCTAAATCTTACCGTCCATCCATTTTGAATGATTGTGTTCTGATTTTTATTTTATTTTATTTTTTTGGATGGCGCTGACATGCTTTGTGTTCCTTGCCATGGTTGTAAGTATTTATGCACATGTTATGCGACGCCACTGCATGGAGGACAACCTGTATATTCCCAGAAGCTTGAAACTGAATCGACTTTGTCCTGTGCACCCCCCTGGTTATTTCAGTGTGTCTTTAGATGCATGTTGTCTTAGTGGACTATGTTAACAAGATGTGTGTGAGCGTATACTGTATGTATATATATGTGTGTGTGTGTGTGTGTGTGTGTGTGTGTGTGTGTGTGTGTGTGTGTGTGTGTGTATATATATATTTTTTAATTCATTCAAATATGTGTGTGTCAGTCAACTATGACCTTGAATCTCCACGGTTTATTATTCACCCCCCCAAAAAAAACAAAAAAAAAAAAGTGCCGCTTTTAGCATTTTCTCAGAGGAAACGAAGCGTCATAAACAAACAAACAAAAAGTTTCTACATAAGGGCTTAATCTGATTGATTATTCATGACGACCCTGTTGGCTGTACATAGTGAGATGGATTGCTATGCATTTTGCAAATTCAGTTCCATTTTTTTTTTTTTTTTTGTGGGTGCGTGAGGAGCGACAAATCCAGAAAAGTATAATTATGCGAATGTTGTACTAGTAATTCATGTCCATTTTTTTTTTCTATATGGAAGAAATTAAATCTGATTGATGAATGTGCATTACTGTGGGCGGACGCTTTCGTGATCATACTCCTCTGGGCTTCGGTGTGTTTGATTCGGAATGTTTTCAAATACTTGTGTGCATTGCTTGTGAATATACCGTATTGGCCCGAATATAATATGTTTTTTTGCATTGAAATAAGACTGAAAAAGTGGGGGTCGTCTTATATTCGGGGTCTAGACATTATACCCATTCACGACGGTAGATGGCGCCAGATGTCATTGAATCGAATGCTGAACTTGACTCCCCAGGCCAAAGTGAACCCCTGTCACGAAGAATAAAAATAAAAATAGTGATAGCACGAAGAAGAAAAATAAAAAATAGCGGTAAGAAGGAAAAGAGAAGAAAATAATAGAAGAGATAACAGAAAATGGAGAAACGTAGTGACAAGCTGGAGAAAAGTGGGTCGAAGATCGGCCAGGTTAACCGGCAGCTGAGGAGAAGTTTTGATGTAATTTACATTTCAAAAACCAGAAGCCATTCATTTACGAATGTGATTGCACTTTAGTTTACATATTGAAATGTTCAGATTTCAAGATTTGAATGAGGCAAAAAAACATACTTTTTCTCTCAAATATATTGTAATAATCATTTGTTTCAGATGTACTGTGATTATTTTTTGTATAAAAATTAATTTGGTGTTCAAAAAGTCTTTTTTCAAACTTGAGTCTTGAAAAAGAGGGGGTCGTCTTATCATCAGGGCCGTCTTATATTCGGGCCAATACGGTAAATGACCCGTTTCATGATATTTTACAAATGTTTTGCCGTTCACGGGTTGAGGGAGATGATGACCGATTGTGTGTGTGTGTGTGTGTGTGTGTGTGTGTGTGTGTGTGTGTGTGTGTGTGTGTGTGTGTGTGTGCGTGCGTGCGTGCGTGCGCGCGCGCGCGCGCTTTTCCGAGTGTTGATTGTTGTTCTCTTTGGAATGTTCCAATACGGGAAAAAAAGAAAAAAAGCCCCTTTAGAGTTTTGACATTTGACAGTGCAGTCGAATGTTTCAGTGTTCCGGTACCACTTCAGTGTCAGTGAACAACACGTGATGATCTCAGGCTTACGTTTTTTTTTGCCATTCTATAAGGAAGAAATCCAAAGCTGTGACAACTCTGAAAACACACTGTTAGAAGGGCAATTCAAGTGGCTCTCAATGATCGCAGTATCTTGTCGGTATCCGTGTTGTGTCAAAAAAAAAAAAAACAACAGATTTTTTAATTTTTTTTGACCCGGCGTCTCACTGTCTCCCATTGGCTTTCGCCCATCCGGCACGTCTCGTAAATGGGCGCAGCCGCCGCCTGCCGCTTCTGACTTTGTGTGTCCATGGGGCTTGTATATCGGATGCCTTCGACAATCATGTGCACATATCAGAGTTACCATGACGACACTGGGCTGGATTGTCTTTTGTTCTTCTTTTTCCTCCTGGAATAAATCCTGAATGATCACCCAAAAAAAAAAAAAATCTGCTTCCTTTTCTTTCTTTTTTTTGCATGCAAGCATTTTCACACTTACTCCCTGTTTGATGTCATTCTAATTGTGCTTTTTTTTTTTTTTTCTCCCACCCACCAGCAGGCTTTCGGCTGCGCGCATGTGGCCGTAAGGCCAAGTTTGACCACGCCGGATCGAGCGTAGAAGGTATTTGGTGCGAAACAGATGTTGAGCAGACAAAAGACAGATGCTGCAAAAATCTCCAGGCGATTGTTACCTTTCTTGGCTCAAGGTAGAATCCTGGATGGGGACGCCTGCAAACGCCCCGTTTGCAGACGGCGCCTCCTGGAACTATAAATTCCTGACTAATTGTCTGCTCTTTCGATTTTTAAGCGTTGCGCTTCCACAACTGTTTTTGAAACGTTCAGTAGGAGTAACCTGAATGCATGTCTGCTGTTCTTTTTTTCTTCATTTTAAACTGATAGTCGTGGTTTACATATTGTTTTAACTGCATGATCTAGAATTAAAAAAAAAAAAAAGCTGAAATTTGCGCCATATTTGCCGCCCATTTAATTTAATATCTGACTTATGAAAAGTCAGTTGAACTGAAAACTTCCCTATCAGATATTTGGACATCCCTCCATATGGTTTCTCTATTTTCTGAACCTCCTCCTCTGGTTTTCAGGTGCTTCTGGTGGCTTGATTTGTCTATGAATGATTTACCAATGCCTGTAAATCTTACAAACTTTTTTTTTTTTTTTTTGCCTGCAGGTTGAGCTCGGAAAAAAAGAGACAGCGGATCCCCTTTCCCTCCAGGGTGTTCGTGGGACGTAGAGATGCGGAGGTGATGTATTTTCCCTGCATCACATCTCCAAATCTCTCTCGGGCGGAGTCGAATTTTCAGTCGCTTGATTATTTCCATCCCGGCGTTCAGAAACGTATCACCGTGAATACTTAAAAGGTATCGCCACGGCGTAAGAACGCTCACTCTCCATCCAGGCCGAATTAGAGGAATATTTCAACGACGTCCTGCTGTTCTTACCCCTCGCAAACACATTCCATTCACTTGATGAACCAGACATGCCGACCGGTCCTCTCTCCCCACACGTTAGAGCGTATCCTCTGACCTACAATTCTCCAAGCATGTGCGCGCCGGCGTAATCATGTAGGCTAGAGCTATTCAATTGTAAATTTATGAGGTGTCTTGACCAGAATAGAGACATAAGTTGAATTATGACAACTGCAGAGGCGCAAAAAAAAAAAAAAAACCAACAAAAAAACGTGCTTAGCCAAGCTGTTTTTTTTTGTGGCGCTTGTTTTGCATTAGTACAAAGAGCATGTAGCATTTTTCTTTGTGTAGTCTACAAAAAAAAAATTCAAGTCTGGCTCCAGCTGTTTTTTGCAACACTCGACGAAACAAAATTGATTCCATTCAACAAAAAAAAAACGTTTTTCTTTTTTCTTTCCAGTGTGTCTTAAGGCACGTACATCACAACCAAGCTAACGTGGGTCCAATGCAATGTTGTTGGGGCAAAAGTATTCGCATTCCATCTCGTTTATTTTCGACGTGACACTCGTCAGAAAATGAGCGAAAGCATCAGGATACTTTGCAGTCACTGAGAGGGATGCTTAATTTGGCGTACTGTAATAAGAGACATTGGGTATAAAGGAGGTTAAAAAAAATGCTTTGAAATGATACATGAGCGCATTTTAATACATATCAGCGTTTGTATCGACCAAACTTCCCATAACAGGAGATCAAATCCAAACTTTGCTGATGTTTTACCGCAACTGACGTCTTCATTTTTGCCCTTCGCGGTGTAAACAATCGCCCGTTTACGACTCGACGCCCTTGAAAAGCAGACGGTGACACCCGCGCTCGTTTTCCAGCCGGACTCTGAAACAGTGCCGCGAAATGAAAAGTGTGACTGCGCCATCTCACCGCCGCGCTTGTTTACACAGAGCTTCACAACGCTGGAAGTCAATTGCATTCCGAGCTTACCCACTCACCCGTCTGTGGTTGGACAAAAGCTGCACAAGGAAGGGGGGCCTCGACACTGCAACACTTATCGGAAAGAGGCAAGTGTGACTAATTTCTATTTCAGGAGGACTGCTTTTGTGATTTTTTTTTTGGTCCCATAAAACTGGCGTTGAGACCAACTTTGTGTTAGAAAACGTTAGTCATTAACCCTTTCAGGGACAGCGACCACTACAGTGGACGGCTTATCATGTTATCAGATTACAAGGTGCAGGAAAGGGTTAAATTTAGCATTGTCATTCCCTGCCGGACATTTGAGAGCATTTTGACATTTTCAAGACCCATGGGCTCTTGTGTTCTGTATTTATACATACGCCGAATGTACCAAATGAAAGAATAGACTCTCTCCTTTTGCCGTTTTTCCATTCTTTTTCTCATCATCAGTACCCCCCCCTCCAAAAAAAGGGGAGGTTTCACAAAATGCAGCCATTTCTCCAAGTGGACTCACTAACTGTGCTACTCTTTTCGCTAAGATGGGATATCGTCGCCATCTACTGGTGATTGTACATCAGTGAAGTTGTTTCCAAGTTTGACATTTACACTGGAGCGGCACCAGAACCCTACCCATCCTCATTCGACAAAATAAATGTAACGGACAGTTCTTTCAGCTGTGTTGCTAACACATTTCTTGTTCGCTTTAACTCATCAGGATGAGTCATTTTTACCCTTTGTCGGGTAAGAACCTTGACCCAATGGCTATGGGTCCAATCCTCTACTCGATGCATTAACCCAGCATTGGCTCAGTTTCTGGGCTATTTCGCCCAATTTGGGTTACTTTGGACCAAACTGTGTGTACTTGGGATTGTGGTGGCATGAGAGGTGGATTAACTCGAGTATGTATCGCAATGAAGGCCCAGGCACCAAATACGCGTCCCGCAATCACGCGGCGGCGGACAGGCGCTCCTGCAGCTCGCGGCCTCGCTCCTCTTCGTCAAACAGCGCCGCCTGCACGGAGGAGCACAGCAGCTGGAGAAGGGCGGGAGGGGGAAGGTGAGCACAGAGTTAGCTTTGGAAGTCGAGTGAAACAACCTTCAAATTGAACTCACACATATAACGCAACATGAAACGGTTCTATTTTCTTACTTTATAAACTGGTGAGTCTTTCTCATAGGGGTCCTAAGTAGGTTCTCTGTGGGATACCCAAAACATGCAGGCGCACACACGCAGCATCTGTCAAAACATCCGCGTCTTACCTGCCAGCTGTTAAAGCATCATCTGTACAAACACCGTTTAGGTCACGCGTGCACCGTAAAAAAGTACAACATTCGAATTCCAGAGCAGTATGCAAAACACGCCGCGACACGTGTCTTTTCTAACGGCACCAAACTCGTCTTTAAATATACATGGATCGAATCTCCAGGCAGTAGTAGTGATACTGAAGCAATTGACTTTTCACCTTTTCGGGGACAGCGGTCATGTGATCAGGTTACAGGTTATCATTATCGGTGCACAAAGGGCACGTAGCAGGATTGAAACATCAAATAATAGAAACTTTAGGTCACGCGTGCACCGTAAAAAAGTACAACATTCGAATTCCAGAGCAGTATGCAAAACACGCCGCGACACGTGTCTTTTCTAACGGCACCAAACTCGTCTTTAAATATACATGGATCGACTACCTTTCAAGCTTCTGAAAGTCCACATAAAATATTTATGAGAGCCATAAAACAGTTTTTGAGCTTTGAGCGTTCCCCCTGCAAACTCCCTCGTCGGTGCACGTTAAAAGTTAATGTGCTAATTAAGAACTTTGTTCCACACTAGCCCCTGACTTCTCCGTGAGTGCATTATACGACATAAAATGTGCCTTAAAGGGGTCGGGGGGGGGGGGACGCAGTGGCTTATCTTTCACGGGAAAGATCACACGGTGTCCTCGAACAAAAGCTTAATGAAGGGTTTTTGAAAGGAGAGGAAGTCTCTTGTGTGTCCTTCGGGGGGGTGCCTGGTTCCCACGGGGGTGGAACGACACCCCCGCGCTCAACTCTGGGGGCTCCGTGATGTCTTGAAAGCTTCATATGTCGACGGGAGGATGACAAAGCTTTCGACGTTTTGTAAACTGTACAAGAAGTGATGAGAATTGGAGGTCTCTTCAATAAAAAAACAAAACAAAAAGATCTTCCAAAATTCCTGAACAGCCGTTCGACGCCCTGACCGTCACGACCCCCCCCCCCTCCACCCACTACGACCCTCACCTGAGACATGTGCGCACCCCCCCCCCCCCAAGCCTGGAGGTCAAAGTTACACGGAACCAAGAGATGCGCGTTGGCTTTGCGCTCTGAACTGAAGCTGCCTAGTGACCCGGAGTGCGTCACAGATGACCATCTCTGCTATTTGACCTTTAACCTTCCCCCGCCAATGGGTCGCTTGCTATAATCCTCACCGGCCGACATGTGAGCGTGTGCGGCCAATCACGTGCTGGTTGCATCGAAGTCATTCATCAGTTGCTTGTGTGTGTGTGTGTGTGTGTCCTTCCCCCGCCAATGGGTCGCTTGCTATAATCCTCACCGGCCGACGTGAGTGTGTGTGTTTCCCGATCCCAGTGGGTTCAAAACAGTGACTTCTGACTCACCCGGTGGGGTCCAGTTTCCCCATGGTGACTTAAATTCGGACTGCTACCACACACACACACACACACACACGCACACACCTCTCTCTCTAGACACACACACACACACACACACATTCCTAAATTTCTGTGTGCATATCTGCGTAAACACACATTTGTCTCCTCCAGTCGATTTCGTTTCGGACGGAATGTATTTTGTTGTTCGCGTCCACAGGTTGTGTACCGCTGATTTTCAACCGATCAAGGAAGAAGCAAGGGTTGCCATAGCAACAAACCCACACCAAATGGCAAACTTGTAATGCAGTAGTGGAGTTGGCGAGGGGCAATGAGGTTGGATGAATGCAAGACCCTACCCTGCTGTCTTCCACAGTGTCCCACTCGGGGCTGAAAGTGTGGAACGGCTGGCTCCCCTGGGTGCAGTTGGAGAACTGGAAGAGGCTGGAGAAGGTACGGCGGTTCTCAGCCGTGTCAGGGAAGATGGCGTCCTGGAAATTGACGCCGTGCGGCAGGATGTTGTAGTTCTCGTCCATCCTGGTGAAGAATGTGGGCAACGTTCAGAAAGGATGTCGCACATTTCGGGTGAGGTACATTGTTGACGACTTTTCTTTCCGACTAATTACTCTCTTTTTAGGATGAATAATTGATCTGTGTGCGCTACACCAGTAGCTCTTAAATTGGAGTTCTGTATTTATCCCTTTCAGGGACGGACGGCGGTTACTACAGTGGACAGCTTATCAAGTTATAGGTTATCGTTATTTGTGCCATGTTGGAAACCGTGCAAATTAACTTTCTCATTAATCACGGCACATATTTTGGTTGAAAAAAAAATCCCATTTGGCATTTAGTGATGCACGCAGTTCATGTTCTGAGTACATGCAAACACTGATGCTCGACGTTGGAGCCTACCTGAGGAAGAAGAAATAGGAGTAGTTCTCCATCACCGTGTGAGACTGACATGAGAGGTAGCCCAGGCCGGTGAAATTAAGTCGGGACCCCGCCGGGACCTCCAGCATGCTCCCCCAGGCTTGATCGCACAAGAGCTCCACTTCCGCCGAGTACAGCAGTCCATCCTCCGCGCCCTCGTACCCGTAACCGAATCCGACGGGCAGCGAGTTGTACAGGCTGTCCACCCCGCCGCCAAGGGGCTCCCGGTGGATGGCCAGAACCCGCGCGTACACGATGATCTCGGCTAGCTCCGCGCGGCATCCCTCGCTCAGTGGCCGCCACTCGGACGGCAGCTGACAGCCGTGCGCCAAAGTATCCCAATGCGTAAAAACGCCAAACAGTGCAAGGAGAATAACTGGGCAAGTCATCACGGAACCTTGGACTGATGTTCAACTTGCAATTTGAGTTACAATTTGACGGTAATGAACACAAAAAGAGGCAACCTGAAATCGCTCAGCTCCATAAATAGGAAAAGTTGCATTGAAACAACGTGCAATGAACCTGCTCCTTTAGTGCAAAACTTTGGCAGCCAATTCCAAAGTGTCCAATTCTTTCACGCGCCTCCTTCTTCAAGAGAAGCACCGGCGCTGCATTCAAGGACTCGTGGAAAAGTGAGGAAAGGAATTTATTGTTGCGTTCAATGACAATTATCACGTGAAATTCCACCCTTCCAATGGTAACTCTCAAAACCTTTCGATGTAGGGTTCCAATGCATTTTTAATTGAACTATGCAGAATGTCAAACGTAGGAATGTACTTTGTAAATTTTCGGAATGTCGTCCTTCAACATTAGAACGTTTCCAGAACACACAACGCCAAACTTATTCCCAAACGCATCATTTTAAATCAAAGATGCCTTTACGGACTCCTTTAAGTTCTCGTCGTGTCATCCAAGGTTCAGGGTTCAAAAATGGCAAGCGTTTGGGGTTTGTTGGAAGGTTTAGGGTTTCAAAGTAAGGTTTCAATACAGAATAGATTTTTTACGGTAGTTTCTAGCCAGGGGTTCAGACGCCATCCTTTCTTTCCTTCTGCCTGCCTGAGATTCCTTCCATTTTTTTCTTGCTGCCTTAAACAAGTTTATTTAAAAACGTACACACAATGCCAGCTTTTGGCCCACCCTGCATATTACTGTATTAAATAGAATCAAGACCTATTTTAATTAAACTCGTTATTCGTACTGTGGTGTGATTTTTGATGTCACTGTGGAAATAATCGACCGTTAAGAGCGGGTCGGTTGATTGGCGTTTGTGACATAAGCAAAGTTGGAAAAGCAAAGGGAACATTTTGTGAACATTTTGGATGAAAGAGAAAAGGAATATTTTGTCTTGTCTCGGACGTTGGCTCAAATTACGGAGTCTGGTGGGGCACGGGGGAATCCCTGGGCATGAATTGGAGAAGCGACTGAAGTGCATCAGCAGTTTGCGTTTACAACACTGCCATCTAGTGGATTTTAAACTGAATGTAACTACAGTACTGTATCAGTGAACACAAGCTGTCATCTCTATGCGTTTTTAAGCAACTTGTGACAATGAGCCGTGGAATCAACCAAAACTCAAAATAATTAAGACATTTTAAGTGTGCTGTTTAACTGTAGAATATATTTTTCTTCTGTATCACATACAGAAGAACTAAACATATTCGTAGCTAATTGATATACTGTACTGTACAAGGAGTCCTCGGTTTACGACGGTGTTCCGTTTCAACGACGGCGACGTTATCAAAATGTGTACGTTGCCTATCACGAACCTATGTCAACGCATTAATAAAGTCATAAGAATTAGTTCGGAGCGCGAGGTTAGGGATCGTCGTAAACCGAGGACCAACTGTCTCGTCGATGCAGTTGACATCTTTTTTTTTTTAATGATACGTCACTTCAAGGAAATGGATTTCATCAAATGCGCGTAGCTTTTGCCAGGAAAACAAGACAAAAACTCTCTTCAAAATAAAAGACTTCAACTTCCTCACGGCCCACAATGAGTGACAGTCGTTGACGTGTTTTACCTTATTTTGAAGGCGCAAACCAGAAGCGTGTGTGTTTACGGTGGTGGACTTGACGTAAATCTAAAACCAGGAGCAGACATAGCAAGGTTCATCAACAATCCAACTCTTATCCTAATATCAAGTGTTGCTCAGTTGTGGTCGAAACGAACGTCCAAGTTTTGCTTTCCGGATCCCACAAGAGGTCAGTTTTAAACAAGTTTATCATTGTGACGCAGTTTGGCCGAAATGTGTTGGAAGTGACTTTGAAATCGAACTTGGCTCGTCGTTTATTACGGACTGAAACGGAAAGTCGATGCATTGTATGATACTTGGTTCTCCCGAAACGGAAATTTACTCTTCCAGTCGTGCCGACTGGACTTCTGTGACTCCGCTGTGGAAAAAAAATACAACATAGTGGAAAGAGTAGAAGCGTAAGCGTTTCTGTGAAACTAACAAAACTGAAGCTACATTTACAATCTTCACACACATCAAACCATCTCGGAGTAAACAAGAAATGAATTTACAAGAAAACTAAAACTGTTACACGAGTGTGCTTTTACGGGGAGCGCTTTATAGTTTACAGTAGATGTCTTATGAATGAGAGAGGAGAAAACACTCGCTTCAGCCTTATTTGCTGGAGAAACACTCATTCAAGGCAGCGATTGAGCCGATGAGTTATGTGGACCTTCAGGACTTGATAAGTTGTCATGTGACCCGCCGACGAAATGATGTAATTTCAAAGAGCTTGGCAGTTTTCCTTGATGCTGCACAATGCTCAAGTCCTGAGTCACTTCAGAGACAGTAATTACTTTTCACAGAGATAAGTGAATAAACCGCATGGGAAATGTAAAAACCACAAAATACGAGACAAAACAATGCCCCGTCAAACCAGTATAAGTAATACTATGACAGTGTCACTTGAAACTAGGATTGCAAAGTTACGGGGCTTTTCAAAGTTTGCGAGTCAACTGGCTTTGCAACGCTAATCAAAACAGCGTTCTCAATAATATAAATAGAAACGTTTTGTCTTTTATTCCTCCTCTCAGCGTCATGTCATCCGAGGACCCCATAATGAATGGGGAGATCTCCCGCTCCCCTAGTTTGGTGGGAACGCCGGAGGAGGCCTTGTGCCAGATGAACATTCTTATCCAAGAAAACCGCAACCTGAAAGGTGAGAGAAGCTTGTGGGCTAATTATACAGTATTACTGTTGTTGTTGTTGTTAAACCATCCAGTTCACCTGCTCTTTCCTCCTTCCCCCAGAGGCTCTGCGTCAGACCAACCTGACGATGAAAGAACGTTTTGAGGAGCTGTGCACGTGGCGCGAGAAGCAGCGGGATGAGCGGGTCTTCCTGGAGAGGAGGCTTGGGGAGGCCCGGGTCAAGATTGAGGCCTTGGCAATTGAAAATGAGTTGATGAACGAGAAACTGGAGGCGGCATCAAAGTCAAACTATGCTTTGGGTGTCTCAAAAGTGAGTGCACTTGTAATACGGTCAACCCCCGTTTGTTACCGCAGCGCGTTCTGGCTCTCCTTTCCCATATGCAAAGGCATTACGCTCAGGATTTACACAGTTTTAAAAAAAAAGCAGGGACAGAAATAATGAACACCAACATGGCAGTGGGGAACACTCATCCTAATTTTAGTAAGGAGCATTAAACATGTAATTTCCAGGTAGCAGATTCCAGTCACATCGCCGAAATGGACGCCTTGCGTGCTCTGGTCACTCGACTGCAGGCGGAGAAGAACGACCTGGTGGCTCTCAACTCCGAGCTGCAGCTGAAGATCGAACAGAACTCGCCTGAGGACTCCTTCATCCAGGTCATCACTGTGTCGGTGAGGAGAAGAAACCCTGAAAGCATTGTCGTATTTACAAAACAATTTTTATTTACATAGCACTTTCCCAACAGCTGCAGCTGTAACAAAGCGCCTGACAAAACAGTTTACATAAAATAAAAAAATAATATAACACAATACATAACGAAAAACACAGTCATGGAATCTTAACACTTTCCTGCATACGCTTTGTTGTTTGAAGCGGTTCTCGATGAAAGAGGAGAGAATCAAAGTGTCCTTCCACCAGTGGATCATAGACGTCATGCTCAAAATGTGCACAAGCTTGAAAGTAAACAAATAGCTGAGGCGTCCAATGACCAAAAAAAAAAAAAAAGAATGGTTCACTTCTCCCGTCCCATGTAATTCTGTTTCAATTCCAAGCGGCCACTCTCCAAGCCATCCCATCTGCACAGCGGCGCAGACCGTCCCAACAGCGCCGGCATCTTTGCTAAACAAAACGGGGTTGTGAAAAATGCTGCCCATTACAGGCGCAAAAAAAAAACTACAAACGTCCCGGGGACTGTCCAGTGGCGACAGTCAAATAGCGCCGACATTCCTCCCAACCAAAATCAAAGCAGCCACCACCAAAAAAAAAAAAAAAAAAAAAGCAAAGCTCTTGAAGAGCACTCGCCGGTTCACATAATTAAGAGACACCCGCGTCTTTTCAGGACGAAGGCAGCCTCAGCATGAAGGCCGCCGGTGAGACCGGCAAACATCCCGATGTGAGCATGATGGCGTCCCGTCTGGACAACGGGGACGTGACCGTCAGCCACCTGCTGCAGTCCCTCAGGAACGAGACCCAGCGAGCCGAGCAGCTGCAAGCTGAGCTGCAGTCCACGATTGACATGTAAAGTGCACACCGTTTATTTGGAGCTCTTTAAACATATTTTGAGGGGCAAAAAAAAAAAAAAAAATTCACATAAAGTTAATATTTGTGTCATATTGATCTTAAAGAATGAAAATGCATGACTTCATATCTTATAACATTCAAGGAAAAAACTGAAAAATACATTTTTACAATATTTATGAAGAATCCTGTGACAAAATGTCATCATCGCATTTAAGAAATAATAATTTTATGTTTAAAAATGAAACATGGGATACAAATGAACCGATTAGCCCTGCTGCATAACCACAAAATTCCCTTCAGATGCCACAAGATCACGCCAAAGCACAACATGAAACTCCTCAGTTGACTCCAATGTAGTTTCCTGCCACCCGTCTATGTCATGTTTTTATTGCTTTGGTCTTCGTACAAAAAAAATCAAGAAAAAAAAGTCACTTTAATCTTCATCTGCAGGCCATGATTAACTTTGATCATTTTGAAGAAGCGGCAAGCCCCCCCCAAAAAAAAACAAAACAAAAAAAAAACGTAGACTGTCTTTGATGCTGTTTCACAACCTATCTTGCACTCTTTAACAGGATCAAATCGATGGAGGAAAAGAGGAGCCATCATGTGACAGTAACGACACAGACCAACATGACAGAAGAGCCCAGAGACCATTCGAAGACGGCACAGGTATTTAGTGGACACATTTTTGCGCGGCTTGAAGTAAATTCCCCTTTTTATTGACCACACGCTACAACGGTGAGGCTGGCTGCTGCAATATCGGCATAACATCCTGTCAAAATCAGACCTTCAAAAAAAATGTTTTTTTTCTCTGCACTTTCAGGCGCACTCCAAATGATTTTTGTGCTTGTTTGAGAGTGTTACACAAGGTCCTTTTACTTTGAAGGTCTGGCTTTTGACAGGATGTTCCACAGGTGTTGCTTGAGTGTTGCATAGCAGACTGGAGGGTTTATTATTTTATTTTTTGAGTAAATGAACGCTTCCATTGTGGAATACACCTTGCCAGTTGTTGAACCACTTTTACAACGACTTTGAAGATGCATCGAATCCAGGAAATTAATGGCTGAGTCGCAGGTTTTTATTTTCCTTGTAACACAAAACGAGTACAAAAAAACGAGTCAACATTTGGATGAAAAATTGTTGAAAACCATGTCATGCAAAAACTGGGGTTCTGCTGTATTGTCATTTAGAGAGTATCTTTGCAGAAAATGAAACATGGTTAAAATTCGAAAACCGATTTTGAATTATTATTTTTTCTCTTCGCTTTTTCTCCTGAGCTGTACAAACAGAAATAATGACAATTTCATCTAAATGTACTTCCTCTGTGTAAAATCAGGGCCTGTTACTCGAACACAAAGCTGATGTCCTTCTTTTTTTGCATTTTATTTTTTATTATTGTATGAAAAAGCCCGGCAAAATGGGCGCACAGCTGAAATAGCTTTAAATTCTGTTGTATGAAATGGCAACAGGCGGCGGGCACACAGGTTAATCACGATATGTCGCTGGCTGGCATAGATAGATGAGAACATTCTTTTGTCATGAAAACATTTTCAGCACAATGAACCGAGAATGAATCACGCCATCGCATCGGGATGACATCTCACCACACGGCGGTCGGATAATGGCTTCTCTCAACTGTCAACACAAATGTTTGCCTTGCGTTCCAGGTGGCATCCGAGTTTATCAAATCGCAGATGATGATGCTGTTTAAAGAGCTGCAGCAGGCCCAGAGCAAGCTGGACGACGCGGAAGGCATGAAGAAGAACCTGCAGGACCGGTTTGTTCACCATTACCTAATGTCAGTGAAAGCTCACTTTCAAGGAATGGCACACGATGGTTCCGACTCGGCTCTCACCTTAGCTGCCGCGAGGTGGAGAACGACGTGGCCACTCTGAAGGCCCTGCTGGCGGACTCGCAGGCGGTCAAAACGGAGAACGAGCAGCTCAAGCTGCAACTGGACAGCCTGCAGGCGCAGAATTTAATGGTGCAGAAGAAGGTCGGGGAGGGGAGGTCTGTCAACGCCCGTTGTTCACGTCACGACATTTCGACATTGAGTCACATGTCATTCAAATCAGAGACCTTGACAGAGTGCATGCTGGGTTCATCCTCAGGACCAACCTGGCCCAGTTGAAGGACGCCTACACGAAATTGTTTGAGGACTACAATGAGTTGCAGGAGGAGAAGAAGAGGAGAGAGGTAATGTGTGTGTGTGTGTGTGTGTATATAAAGAAACATTTTTCACTGGTACGTAGTTGTCTGAGGAGGACACCCTGAACGGTTGCTAACCAATCGCAGGGCACATAGAGACGAACAACCATCCGCGCTCACATTCACAGCTAGGGACGATTTTGAGTGTTCAATCAGCCTGCCATGCATGGTTTTGGAATGTGGGAGGAAACCAGAGTACCCGGAGAAAACCCACACAGGCACAGGGAGAATATGCAAACTCCACACAGGGAGGGCCAACGCTGGAATGGAGCCCGGTAACAAATAGACAATCAGGCACTCGCAGTCACAATCACAGTTTCGGGACAATTTAGAGTGTCCCAGGCATGGAGTACCCGAAGAAAAACCACGCAGGAGAATCCAAGGCTGGAGCTGGAATCGAACCCGTCACTTTTTTTTTTTTTTCGCCCAGCCCCACAAGTGTAAACTCTGGAGTTTCAAAAGGTTTGAATGCTTGTCTATATGTCGTTTGCGTGGATGGTCTTACCATCTTACCAGTGAGCCAGAATGAGGACTAGCCCAAGAAAACGGAATTCATGACTGCCTTCGTGGGGGGTTTTCACCTGTCAAATCACTGCAATGCTTGCAGGCTGAGCTGGTGGACAAGGAGGTGGTGGACGATCTTCAAGGTCAGCTGAGCATCGCCGAGAAGGCCCTGGCTACCAAGCAGGAGCGCATCGACAGCTTGAAACAGGAGATTTTCAAGAAGGAGAAGGAGCTAGAGACCATCTCTGTCTTAGAGGCACAGGTAGGCGCAGTTCAACTAAGTGGCCCTTGAAAGCAGTCCACAAGCCATTTTTTTTTTTGTTTTTGTCTTCGTAAGAGTCCTGTCGGAGTTGTATTATGATAATAATAAAATATATATTTTTGTTATAATAAAACATTTATTTTTAAATGTAACTTCGTAAGAGTCCTGTAGTAGTTGTATTAATATAATAATAATAATAATAATAATAAAATTATATTTTTTTGTAATAATAAAATACATTTTCCCCATAAATGTAGTTAATTAAAATAATTTTAAAAAAATTTAGCAGAGGAGATGTTGGGAACTGTTTGATTGATTTATTGTAAAAAGCAAACAATGTTCCAATATTTTTTGGTCAATTATTTGGTTATAATCTAATATGAAATAAATTGAGCATTAATTATTGGTCACTCTTTTTTTGCATTTATTTTTCAAATACTTCATTAAATAAACGTTATTTTAAAATTACATAAATTGCAAAGAAATGAAAAATGTGCATGGATTTAAAACATTTTTTTTGCAGGAAATACAAATTGCTATTTAAAAAAGACATATTATTAAATAATTTGACAATTATAAAAGTGACATTAATTAAAAATAAAAATGACATTATTTGATGATTAAATTTAACAATTTTACATAAAACAAAAATATGACTAAAACAATGTTATTAGTAAATTATTAAGCAGGGGCAATTTTTAATTGTGAATGATGAACTTAGGTGCAAATGAAATATTTGTATTATTAATTCTTAAATGTACACAAGAATAAACATTTGTAAAATACTGTGGAATTTTAATATTTTATTACATAATTGGCTTTTTACGTAAGATAATTACATGGAAACAAACTGCGCATTAAAAAAAAAATCAAATCAGCTGTTTGACATCACTTAAAAATGTGTAAACCTATTGCCGAGTGAAGTAGAATTAAATGATGAGTCATACAATCAACAATGCGGGAAATATTTCATTCCACGTTGTTCCTTTATTACCTCATCTTTTTGACCACACCCATCTTGATTCCAAATCAGATGTGGCCCTTGAGCATAATAAATGTTTGCCCTGCCCTGCTCTTAAGTGACATACAGTGGCGGCTGACTAATTGTTTGCGCGCCCTTTCTCTCCGCAGGCCGAAGTCTACTGCTCCGATTTCTACGCAGAGCGGGCGGCGAGGGAGAAATTACACGAGGAGAGGGAGCGCCTGGCTGTTCAGCTGGAGTACGTGAAGAAACAGAACAACCATCTGCAGGAGGAGATGAGCCGGTATGCCAAAAGCACAGGAACTGTAGGTAGCAATGTGACTATAGGCAGGAAATGAAATCTTACCATTGGAATCAAAAAAATGATTTTGTGACCGCGAGAAGGGTACGCAAGAAGCGAAACCGTCAAATATTACCACAAGCATCCCATTAAACTGGAAATACTTCCTTGTAATGCATCGCTAAATATGTTCATGGGTCATTTGTTCATTGCGAAGGGCACCGTAAAGGTTAACGTCGATGTTTCCTCATTTTGTGGAATTTTCTCTCTACAGGCAGAAATTAGGCGACATGCAAAGGAGACATGTGGCTAATGCCAATGCGCACGGGCCAGCTTTAGTTTCAAGAGGTCTGTGTCTGTGCTTTTTTTTTTTTTTTGAAGTCCATGTATGTGATGCTTAAAACAAACAAGACTGGGAATTAATACTGTCCACTCAGCAGTTTTTTTCTGTCTCGCAGGCACTGACTGGCAGCAACAGGGCAGTATTCCTGAACACGTCTGTCCAAAGTGCAACGAAATCCTGCCAGATATGGACTCCCTGCAGATCCACATCATGGACTGCATCAACTAGCCCCCACCCCCCTTTTGTTGTTAATAGCATTCGCCATACTTGCACTTTATAATCGGAGTCTTCCTTCTGGTTGTACCTACTCTCTCCTGTGACGAAGAGTCGATATCCTTTTTTTTTTTTCAGGTTTGATGTTATCTCGCGGTTTGATTGTGTTGAGTCGAGGCAAGCTGAGGAATGACCAAGTTAAAATAATTTAAATCTGTCAATCGGGGGCTTTTTTATTATTGTGTTAGGGTTTTTTTTTCCCCCCTTCCAAATTGTGTCAGCTGGCATATATATTCTATGACAAGCAGATGTATGTAATTCAAGGAAGTTCATACCTTGAAAACTTGTTTAAATGAACCGGCGCACTACTGCTGCAAAGTATAAGGTGACTGCATTGTTCTGTAAATTTAATTAAACTGTAATCAGGTCAGAGCATTGTTTCATTGTCAAGTGTCAGAACCGGTAAGTGCATTTCAAAATGACTTAATCTCTTCTCAAACTGGCGAAGTACCAAAAAAAAAAATTGCAACACGGTGTTACAAAAGCATTCTCGTCAAGGATTTCCCGGACTTGTGAAAGTTTACTCCAACATAAAGCTCATCCGTCACAAAAGGTAAAAAAAAAAAAAGTCACAAGAACAAATCCAGGAACAGCAAGACATTTTGTTTTAGTCTTGCAGTGTCAAGTAAGCGTATAAATTGTTGTCCACTCTCGCCATCTTTGCCGGCGACAAAGCGGACGTGGCTGCGCTTTCTTCTTGATGCTTCGGTGTGTGTCTCAGCTCTGCGAGGTTCGCAACAAATTGGTCGTGGAGAGCCTTGATGGCCGTCTTGAGCTCAGCCAGCGGGACCGCGTCGGTGCAGTTAGTGGACGACACCCACATGGCGTTGAGTTCCTCGTGGAGCTCCGTTCTCACTTTCCAGACGGCTTCATCGGAGTAGCTCGCCGCCTGTTAGGGCGACAAGTGTATGAAATGGATTTGCACACGCAATTCGGATCGTTTCACTTACGTGGTGGGAATGATGAGCGTCTTCAGTAAGGCTGCGTGATGCATCGAGTAACAGGAGGGTTGTTGCGATGTCGTCACTTTTTGCCTCATTCACGGCTTGCCGTTTCACTTTGGCTTTATAGACGTGATTGGCTATGTCCTTCAGCGTGGGATAATACGCCCGATGCTGCTCATCCGGCGCCACGCCGTCAGACATTTTGGTTTGAACGTTGTGCCGCAGGACCGCCTGAACGTCCCTCGTGGTGGTGATGCCCTCATCGACGAGTTGCTCGATCCACTGGATGATCTGCGGGTGGAGCGGTTGGGCTTCAGTTTGGCCGCATGACAAATGTTCGGTGTGGGCTCGCCGGAGAGGAAAACTGATATAAAACCGGTTTTCCTTTGTCACTTCCTTCCCTGCCTCTAAGTCTTGCAGCAGCCTCTCTTTGGCTTTGGTTTGCCAAATTGTCACACTCCTCTTTGCCGTCACAACGTACTCTGGTAACCTGCAGATGTGCCAAACTGAGATTTTGGCCTGGCATCCTTTCTTTTTGGTGACTCCAGCGGAAAGTCTCTTTTTGGGCCTCTTCAGTCCACAGGATGCCGTATTTTCATTATTGCTTCTCATATTCTCATCAGAACACGTGCTTTCTATATCACTCTTTCTTCTATGCTCCCTTTTAGGTCCATACTGGCACTCCAGTGTCTTCATGCCACCATACGTGAAGGGAACTCCATCATCGGTGATGCGAGGGCTGATGGTCCTGCAGAAAACAAAAGAGCGAGTGCAGAACTTCTTATTCTTGCACTTAAGCGGATCCACTTGCAGGGATGAAGACCGGCGGGTGCAGAATGTTGTTTTGGTAGCTTTTCTGTACAGTTCCAGGACATTGTCTACGCTTGACTCAGTAGTCACAAAGCCATGAATGTAGTCCCCATCTTTGCTGTAGTCCTGAAGGAAATCCTCCCACTTGACAACACTGAGAACCGGGTCGTCGTCGCTTTCCTCCATCCTGTGATGAAATAACAGTATTGCAGCTTTACGTTAACTCTCAATCTTTTCCCACCGTTCTTCGATTGATGACCTTACATGCCCCTCTGACTCATTTAGGTGAACGTGAAATACCTATGTTCATCATATGCATTTTTAAAGCTATTTTACGTCACTCTTCTTAATAGCGCCTTGAGTCAATTCTTACCCATATATTTCTTCACGAACGCCTCACTCCAAGAAAAAAAAAAAACTTGAATTCAGATGTTTATCGAAGTTCAACAGCGTAACAAGATCGCAATACGTGAAGCTTTTTCTAGTCTTCAGGACCTCCGTAAGGCACGCCTACTATGCTGTCAAAAAGATTGCCGTTATATTGCGGAAAAAAATACTGATAAACTATGCCCCGGCCCCAATTCACTTAAGTAATTTACTTTTTTTTTTCTTCACATTAGAGAAAAAAAAAACACTGACCAAGAAGTAAATCGAAAGTTGAGAGAGACTATTGTTATCAGGCATATTTGAGGCACCTAAAAAGATTTTGACAACAACGGGGTCCTCCGTTTAGCGCCAGTTTGGATTTTCTCCCTCGCTTTTGAAAGAATAGCAACCAAGATATGCTGAGTTAAACGAATAAACACTCATATTTGTACGTATTACTGAATAACTGATCGTAAAATACCGGAACTAAATGGGTTTGGATTCCGTTGAATAATATAGAAGACACACAAACTGAATTTGGCCCATCGATGGTAAATTGGTCGTCCAATGCATTCGAAGTTTGTACTGTTTATTAAATTCAGTCTACCGGCCATTTTTGTAACTATTCATACTATTCACGTCCCTTTCCTAATGGTGGTTTGTAAAATGCAAAATGTGCTTTTGTCCTGAACATGTAATGTTAACTGACACTCTGAATCTCATTGTGTAGCTTGGCGGCCGTACTCAGGTGGACTCTGACCTATAATGGATTGTAAGTATTTTATTCGGCATTTTTTTTACCCCCCAGCTTGCTCCACATTCCAAAAACTTGCGTGTCAGGTTCATTGAAGACTCTAAATTGTCCGTAGGTGTGAATGAGAATGTCTGCGATTGGCGGGCCCCCACTACAAGGCTCATCCAAAGTCAACCTAGATAGGCTGCAGCTCACCTTTGACGTTAATGAGTACAAGTGGCCTAGAAAATGGATGTTGAACTCCTTCATAGTGTGTTGAGAAGTCAATTCATTTACTCTCTGTCCAGGTGAAGATGATCTGGGCATTTTGACAGCCTTAATGGCTGAGAATGAGGGCCGTGGAGAGGAGCAAAAGCAGCAGCAGGCCGATGACTTTGATGACCTGTTTGACAATGACGACGAGGATGAGGAAGGACGAGATGTGGAGCCCGAGGATGAATTGACAGAGCTTTTTGGAGATGTAGATGATATTAGAAAAGAAGAGCAAGTGGCTCAAGAAAATAAAAGCGAAGCCAGTGAGAGTCTCAACAGGTCCCAAGAGGAGCTGCAAGGTTTATATCTGCGTCCTTTCTCATGGGACATACCTTAAGTTGATGTTTTACTGATAAAATTGTTTTCCCCCATTCCATCGTGTTCAGAGGAGTTGAGACGGATGCAGGAGAAAATGCAGGCATTGCAGAAGCAGCTGGAGGCAAGCCAGAGTGCTTCCTGCTCCTCTTCCCTGGCGAGACCATCAGATAGCTCACCCTCTCCGAAACCGTCACTTCCTGGCCAGGCCGCCCCCAAGCGTATCCCAGCGGCTGTGACACAGAAGACAAATAGCCAGTCAGGTAAAAAAAAAAAAAAAATCAAAATTCGATTACAAAATCTGCTAATATACTGTCGTGTTCTCCTGCTATCTCACAGTTCATTGTCATACTTGCTGATGTGCGAAAGGACAAAAAAACATGTTCATTGTCATGACGCTCCGTTTCACTTTCATATCAGTGACTTCAACGTCCAGTGCGGTCAGAACAGGAAGTCAGAAGGTGCAGGAGTCCTCTGACTTTATCTCCGAGCTGAGCACCGCTGACTCTTTGAAAGGCAAACCCAGAGTGGCCCACCAAAGCAAACCCAACACTTCACCACGTAAAAACGCATCACATGATTGAATATCTTATCATTTGAATGGCTCATTTATCGCTGCGCAATTTTATTTTATTTTTTAAAATCAGAAGACAGAGTACCACTGGTTGAGATTAAGATGGGAAGCTCTTTCCTGCCCGTGGAAAGCACGAGCAAGGCGGCCACTCCTCGCCGCCAGTCTGCAACCTTCCAGAGCAGACCCTGCTCGACTACGTCATCGGGATCGCTTAAGCTTGACTCGCTTCCTAAAGACGTGGCTATGGAGAAATACTCTGGATTGCGGCTCAGGTCGGAACCTTTTCGGAAAACCTCAATTAGGCGCACTCAAATTTCTGTGAAAACTTCAACTTTAAAGTGGTTTGTGTACGTTTGCAGGAAGCCACGGGTTTCATCCAGCGACATGGACCGCAAGATGGCTGACCGCCGCCTCATCCGCCTGTCACAGGTGCCGGACCGCCTGCAACGCGAGAAGCTGGAGGACAGCGACTGGGTGACGTTTGGCGTGCTGGTCAGCAAAGCGACGCCGCAGAGCAACAACAGCGTAAATATCGACCGCTACTTCTCTGAGATTAGATTCCCAGATGCGTTCGATATTTAAAAAAAAACGTCTCTGCCTATGAAGGGAAAAACATTTAGCATCTGGAAGTTGAATGACCTCCACAACCTGGATGTGTTCGTGTCGCTCTTCCTGTTCGGCGACGTCCACAAGGAGCATTGGAAGACCGAAACGGGTACCGTCATTGGAATCCTCAACCCCAACCCCATGAAACAAAAAGACGGCTATGACGAGGTAAGGGCAAACTAGCAAACTTTTTAACTCGTTCAGTATCAGCCAATTCTGGACCAAGTCTGAAGCAAGGAGCATTGGAAGACCGAAACGGGTACCGTCATCGGAATCCTCAACCCCAACCCCATGAAACAAAAGGACGGCTATGACGAGGTAGGCGCAAACTGTAGCAAACTTTTTAACTCATTCAGTATCAGCCAATTCTGGACCAGAATTGAAAAACGTCTTTGGGAGTGAATGAGTTAATAACATGGCAACTGTTGGAACTTTTGAGGTTCAGTGGCCACTACAGTGGACAGTTTATCATGTTATCAGATTAGAGGGTGCGTGAAAGGGTTTAAAAAGCTCGTCAATTCTAACCCGCAGGTCAGCTTGACAGTGGACCACCCGCAGAAGGTGTTGCTGATGGGTGAAGCTCAAGATTACGGCACGTGCAAAGCCATGAAGAAAAACGGCGATCCCTGCTCTCAGCTTGTCAACATGGTAACGTTGCCCATTCGTGGCCCTTTTTCCAAATCTGCGAAAAGCTGTTGACAAGGTCTGGTCAATTCTGCTCATTTTGTAACCGGGCTCACTCAGCATAAACTTTACCGGTAGTCCTGAAAATACTTCTTGGAAACATTTAGACAACCACCCCCACTAAAATTGTTATCATTCCTTTTCAATTAATTACTCACTCAATAATATGTGAAAAGACATAATTGTAATTAATGAAATAAAAAATATTTGGAAAATAAGTTTTGACAATTACAATGTGATATTTATTTATTGTTTAATTTATTTTAAAAAATGGTTCATTCTACTATTGAAGTAGTTCATGTGGAATTTTTTATTAATTATTTTACGGTTAAAATGACCTATTTCGCATGTTTTTTCGACTGTTTCATTCATGTTACAAAATAATTGTTTCTAATGACATTAATGATTAATCTTTTACGAATAAAACACAATTTCACGCGCAAATTTCTTATTGATTTTTATTGAGGATTGTTGAATCAATTACCTGTGTGAATAAAATTAATTGAATAAAGACATAAGAACAATGTCATTTTTATTTATTTTCAATGATTAGATTTATATTTGAATTGTATTTGTTGTGTTTGAGGTATGACTTGATGTACAGCACGAGGTAACAGATACTTTTTTTTTTTTTTTTAAGGGCTCTATAAGTCTAGTTGAGTTGACCTGAGGAGTCAAATTAACTGTTCAACGTGAATATGAAACACATTATTTTATTCGAAAATGTGTGATTCATTCAGAATGACATTAAATCTACATCTTGCAGTCAAACTATGATTTGACTTTTCAAATCAGCTATTCCATATGTAGTCTTTCTTCCGTGTGTCCAGTACGAATGCCAGTACTGCCAATATCATGTCAAGGCCCAATACAAGAAAATGTGCTCCAAGCGGTCCGAGCTGCAGTCGTCGTTCTCCGGAAAGGCGCCCAACAAGGTGAAGGGCGTCAGCCTCAGGGAGCGCATCTGTCAGGACGGCTTCCACTACGGCGGCGTCTCGTCGGCCGCCTGCGCGGCCTCGCTGTGAGTCGGGACGACGGCTTCTGCTCTTCAACTTGACATTTCCAAGACATTTTCCTAATTGCCTCCATATTGCCATGCAGATCCGCGTCCAAAGTGAAAAAAAATGGACAGACAACTCTGGACAAGCTCTTTGTGAAAGGTTCCGCTCGTCACATCCTTCAGGCGAAAATGCTCGGTAAGGTTGGCCGCGGCTTTCGGGAAATACGTGTCGTCAATCGCCACTTCATGAAAGCGCTTCCATGGGCTGTGTGAGCATTTACAAATTTGGGAAGCAAAAAAAAAAAATAAAGCAAAAGAAATTCGGAACGAGCGAGACTGTCATTTTGAGGAGTTACCGTATTGGCCCGAATATAAGACGGTGTTTTTTGCATTGAAATAAGACTGAAAAAGTGGGGGTCGTCTTATATTCGGGGCCTAGACATTATACCCATTCACAACGCTAGATGGCGCCAGATAGCATTGAAGCGAATGCTGAACTTGACTCCCCAAGCCAAAGTGAACCCCTGTCACGAAGAATAAAAATAAAAAATAGCGGTAAGAAAGAAAAGAGAAGAAAATAAGAGAAGAGATAACAGAAAATGGAGAAACGTAGCGACAAGCTGGAGAAAAGTGGGTTGAAGATCGGCCAGGTTAACCGGCAGCTGAGGAGAAGTTATGATGTCATTTACATTTCAAAAACCAGAAGCCATTCGTTTTCGAATGTCATTGCACTTTTGTTTACATGTTTAAATGTTCAGATATTAAGATTTGAATGAGGCAAAATAACATGCTTCTTCTCTCAAATATAATGTTATAATCATTTGTCTCAGATGTACTGTAATTATTTTCTGTATAAAAATTAATTTGGTGTTCAAAAACTGCTGTGAATTGGGAATTTCTCCATTGCGAGACTAATAAAGGTTTTCTTATCTTATCTTATCTTATCTTAAAAAGTCTTTTTTTCAAACTTGCATCTTGAAAAAGAGAGGGTCGTCTTATAATCAGGGCCGTCTTATATTCGGGCCAATACGGTATTTCTTTTCTTTTTGTAGCTCTGAAGTCTGGAGAAGTTTCAAATTGTTCTGATGAGTTCAAGAGTTTGATGTCGGTGCCGTCGCCAGGAGCCCTGCAGCTAAAGAAGCACCTGACACAGGGACGCGCATCGGGTACGCAAGCCCATTTCGATTGCGTCCGAACCCGTGTGCTCAACCCACTGAGTTTTTTTTTTTTTTTTTTTTGGTCTTGCCCGTCAGTCTCCACAGACCCACAAGCCGCTCCTTTTCAGTCCGTCTCCGCTTCAGACCTTCTAAAGCAGCAGAAACAGAAGCAGAGGGAGTTCCTGCTCAACCGCCAACGTAGGGTGGTGGGATCCCAGGCCGCTGAGGTGCCGAAACCAACCACGCCCTCTTTACCGGCGTCCCCTAAAGCGGCTCTCGGCGTCCCCAAGACCGGCCAAAGTCCCGCCACGCCGCAGACTCCGACACTGGGCCGAGGCTTCTCGAAGGGCGAGGACGTCCTCTTCTTCGACGCCAGTCCGCTTCCCGCGCCGGCCGCCGCTCTGAGCCTCTCGTCCGCCAAGCTGGCGGCTCTGAAAAAGCTGAGAGCGAAGGGGATGGCGTTGGAGAAGGAAGACCCCAACGCTGTCAAGAGGAAGAGGACGAGCGACAGCGAGATCAGCGCCCGTGTGGAAAAGAGTCTCACCTCTCCTGACGGTACCCACACTCCAATGAACACCTGTTTCGCTTTGAGTGACATTCAAAAATATATATAACAACAACAGGGCGGCCCGTTGGTGCAGTGGTTAGCGCGTCGACCTCACAGTGCAGAGGTACCGGGTTCAATTCCAGCTTCGGCCTCCCTGTGTGGAGTTTTCATGTTCTCCCCGGGCCTGCGTGGGTTTTCTCCGGGTATTCCGGTTTCCTCCCGCATTCCAAAAACATGCACGGCAGGCCGATTGAACACTCCAAATTGTCCCTAGGTGCGAGTGTGAGCGTCGATGGTTCTGTGTGCCCTGCGATTGGCCCCACCCCCTTGTGAGGATAAGCGGATCGGAAAATGGATGGATGGATAATAACAATAATCTCGTTTAAATTTACATATAATTGCTTTTCAGTATCATTTGTTTGAAAAAAAAAAAAATCTTCAAATGAAAAATGGTGCATCTGTCATTTAGACAGAAAAGTAAACCCGTTTTAATTTTTACTGACATTTTAAAATGTATTTTTTAAATAAAATTAAAATTACCCCCAAAAATATCAAATTCCCCAGACTCCATTAATGTACTTGAATGGAACCCTTGATTTAATTTTAATTACGTGAAAAAAAAAAAAAAACGATTAAAAAAATAAATCAAAGCTAAAAACATTTGCGCCGCACTTTCAGCACATTGAAACTGATTCAAAATGCACTTTCATTTATTCAGACAAACTTTTTTTCAGTATTCCGTAGCGCCTCGCTCTCTCGCTCGCGCGGTTCTCCAAATAAGCGGCAAAATGCGCTCGCTTTGATTTGTTCGTTTGTCAGTCACGGGGGGGTTAAAGTTTACCGTGAATCTTTAAAAGGGTATTGAACAAAACCTTCAAGTCATTTCGACTTCGCTAACTGCTAACATGAAACAGAGTAGAGAGGCTAACGGGCAGACGCGGCGTGAATCAGAAATCGTCAAACAACTGATATTTCAACAAACGCGGAGCAGCAACGCATACAAAAAACATCCAATAATATTTCTAGCCACATATTCTCTCTGCTCTGTGGGAACGACTAGTCCTGGAGTTTAATTGGGGACCATCTCTGCCTCTTCATGACACTTCCAGCAGACCTCCAGGGCCCGGCTGGCATCTTGCCGCATAAACGTTGTATTCAACTTGCTTGCTTTTTCCGTGCAGCTGAGCGCGGGGGTGCCGACGCGGAGCCGGCGGAGAAGAAGAAGCGAGATGAACTCCGCTATATTCAGTCGGAGGAGTTTCAAAAGATCCTCGCCGCCACATCTCTGCACGGAGCCGTCCTGCAGGCGGTACGATGCGCGTGAAGAAAAAAAAAAAAATTGTTCTCATTTTTCACATTCCAACTTCAAAGTCGTCATCCCGCAGCCGTCTTCAAGCATTCCAAACACCCGCATTTTTTTTCCCCTTTTTTCACATTTTCCACAAAACCATTCTCGAATGAACGCAGACATTTGACGAAAATATAATCGACCGTCCACGTTTTCTTTGACCGTCTTTAAACTTTGAACCACCGGTGTCAAACTCAAGGCCCGGGGGCCAGATCTGGCCCGCCACATCAGTCGATGTGGCCCGCGAAAGCAAATCATGCGTGCCAACTTCCATGATGCTTGTTAAAATCTGTACGGAAAAGTCAAACTGTCATGTGGAATAAAAAACGTTTCCGTTAGTTCCACTGTCGTCACGTAACCCCAAAAGTGTCCCGCGACAAAAATGACTTTACGCACCTGCTTTCAACGACTCACCTTGTTTAAACGCTTTCACGCACCCTGTCACCTGATCACATGACAAGCCATGCACCGTAGCGGCCGCTGTCCCTGAAAAGGGTTCAAGACGCTGATATTGGGCTATTCCAACTTTTCCAAAATTAATATTAAAATATTTCATGTTTATCGAGCCATTCCAAGTTCAAACTGCTCACCCTGAAAGGACACAAACTTTTTTTCGGAAATACCAAAACTTCTCACATTTGACCTAACACATTCTCAAATAAAGACAAACCAATTTTTTTTTTTCATATTGACCTCATTCTTCCACGCATCTTGAACGAATCCGCAAATAGTTTCCTCCGTTTTGTTTGGTGTCTCGTCTAACTTCAATCTTTTTTTTTTTTTTTTTTTGCTGACCCCTCCCAGGCCGAGTATCAGTTGCAGGAGCAATACTTTGACCCGCTGGTGAAGAAGGAGCAGATGGAGGAGAAAATGAAGGGCATCCGCGAGATGAAGTGTCGTGCCGTTTCCTGTCAAAAGGTCATTCCCGTGACCTCTTACGTCGGATCGGAACAAGTCGGAGCTGCGCTTTACCAGTTCCTGTCGCCTTTTGCCTTTTAGTGTAACTACACCTACTTTAAACCGGCGGATCGCTGCGTTGGTGAGAATCACCCTCTGCGCTGGCACGACGCCGTCAAACGTTTCTTCAAGTGTCCGTGCGGGCAGAGGGCCGTCGCGCTCGACAGGCTGCCGCACAAGCACTGCAGGTAGGGCGCCGCGGCTCGTCGTTTCTTTTTGCGACGCGAACAAAGCGGCTGCCGACGAATCAACGGCTGCATCTCGCCATTTTTTTTTTTTCCCAAGAAAATAACCCGTGTTTTAAATTTTGAACAAGACAGTGGAGGGCTATCATGGCAACTGTGACGTTTTTGACCAGAGGTATGTGCGGTGTTAAACAGGAAAAAAAACATTTGGGTCGGGGGAGGGGGGGGTGCAATGTTTGAAATATTGTCATTTCTTTTTCCACTTGCGAAGGAGAGTTTTGTTATTTATTTATTTTTTGTGTGCGTTGAGGTTTTATTTTAACTCATTCAGTACCAGCCAATTCTGGACCAAGTCTGAAAAGACGTTTAAAAACGTCTTTGGGAGTGAATGAGTTAATTGCAGAACATCATGTGTTTTTTTTTTGACATTTATTTTGTGCATGCAAATATTTCGTTTGCTTTTTCTACTTTCTCCCCTCCAATTTTGCTGCTGTAGATTGCAAATTTCTCCATTTTGAGACAATTTTTTCTGATTCTTGTGTTTTAGGAAGGGTGTGGGCAAAATGCTCTCCTGTATTAAGATTTTAACTTCATTATTTCTTTGACTTTTCCAGCAACTGTGGTCTCTTTAAATGGCAGCGCGATGGAATGCTGAAGGTAAAAGTTCTTCCCGGTTCATTGAAACGCTTCGTTATCGTAAAGTCCTTTTGGATGCTTTCCATTTTCTTCCGTTTGCATTTTGAGGAGATGAAAACTGCTTTTTCTTGTCTCTGGCAGGAGAAAACGGGACCAAAGATCGGCGGGGAGCTTCTGAAGCCGCGAGGGGAAGAGCACGCAAAGTTCCTCAACAGCTTAAAGTAGAACCGAGTTTACTCCTATGATGATTTTTTTTTTATTTTAAGAATTTTAATGCTGTTTTAGTAACTGATCATGGAGACCAACATGACATTTGGAGGAAATTAAAGTGATGATTGACACATTTCGGGACACATCGGCGCTTCCGTTCACCTCGCGTGCATTTTGACCGGAGACGAAGATTCTTTCACTTTCACAGAAAGGCACAAGCAAATAATTTGACGATAACTTTTTTGTGACAGTAGAGCGCAAGAATTCAGCAGCTGGCCTGAGAGAGCGAGTTAATCACTTTTCCCTCTACAAGCACATGAAATGTGATTCTCGTCTTCTTTGTGAAGACAAACAAAAAAAAAAAATCTTTAATCTTCTCCAGGTGTTGGGGCTCACGCCAGCCTCAAAGTCTCAGGTGGTACTTTTTTTTTTTTGGTTTGTTTTAATAGGACAACATCAGCTTCGAGCAATTTTACAGCGTGCTTTTTGGCATTTGTGCGTCTTGACTTTTCCGATCTGGAAATTATTTCAGCCTGATGACTTGCGCAGCCTTCGCCTCCTCTTCTTCGCTTTTATTCCGTCCTACCCTGCCTTCCATTTTGAACGCTCCAAATTCCTTTACGGCGTGTGGCAAATACATCAGCGCCGCATAACTATCCAGGAAACTCATCTTGGTCACGCCGGCAGTACATCAAAAGTCAATTGAAGCCGCTTTCTCTCTCAGGAAATCGAGTGCATTGCGAAAATCGACATTTAAGTAGTTGTTACAAATGCCTCCGGCTAACAATTATGGCAACCTTTTATTAAGCTTGTTCGTGCATGGGAAAAAGCAGTTAAGACGTGCATGCGTTACGTAGTCTTTATTTTTTTTGATGTGTACAATGTTAAAAAAAAAAAAAGATACAGAAAGCAGAAAACTGGCTATGGATTTGTTATTTAAATTTGATGACATCACTTCGACCGCCGTACCTGAAAAGGTTAAAACACACGCTTCACTTTGGCTTTGAGCGCACTTTAGTGGAACCAGTGATATCGAGGATAGCGGCCGTCATAGTTGTACTCTCGGACTTGCTCTTGTTTCTCCCTCGTTCTTTCCCGTTGCTCTGTTGCATTTCAAAGGGAGGGGAAACGTTCAAATTAGTCCAACCCGGCGGCGACATAATGCAAAAAAAAATCAAGTCGTGCGCATATACACCGTGTGATATCGAAAAAAGGAAAACAATTGAAAAATATGGTGTGATATTCCTCGGTTTTCGACCAACCATAATCCGTTCGAAAAGCGATTTGCTCGAAATCCGAAACTATTTTATGAGCCCGTGATTAGGGGTTAATGCGCTATGCAGAAATAACATAAAAACAGTCAAGATTTGCGTAAATCACACCAAACACGTCTGTTCACGACGAACGTTACACGAAGAAGCGTCACTTCCTCGTGTAAGGAAGCCGAGAGGAGTCAAGTGACGTTTTCGGGTTTGCTCAATTTTGTCGAAAACCGGTTTTCAGTCGTAATCCGATGCGTAAAAAACCCGAATATTCTGGTTGAAAACCGATTTGGTCGAGAACAGAGACATTTGAAAACCGAGGTTTGACGTTACTGTACACGCTAAAGGCTAAATAGGCTAACTGAGGTATGTTGCAAATTAATGGGATGAATTCATTTTTGTTTTTAACAATCACAGGCAATAAATTCCGAAGCATTACAAGACACAATATCAATTATTAGATGTCAACTTTTTGGTCTTGTATGTTCCAAACTTGACTCCCAATCTGAGACCTCGATGGCGATCTCTCGCACTTCTGCGACGTGTAAGCGTTTACCGGTCCGATCCTCTTCGGCGTAGTTCTCGTACTCGTTGCGTTGCTCCTCGTTGTGCTCCCTGCGGCTCTCCGAGTTGGCCCGATGCATCCGCTGCTCGGCTGTGAAAAACACACGGCGACCGATATGATATGTCGCCCGCTCCGCACGATCCCGAGACTCCTTCTGCGGGCTCGTAATGAATATTCAAGAGGCTTCTATTGTCTTACACAATACTTGATTGACTTAGCAGCCATCCCTGATATTCCTCATATTTTGCTTTCCCCATTTGTAGTCGTCGTCGTCGGTGTAACGACTCACCCAGCTGCTCGTAGTATCTCACAGAGCGGCGACTCCGGCGTTTGAAAAAAGTCGCAGCGTCCGTCTCGGGCATGAAGACGGGTCGCGCGGCCTCTGCGGGGGTCAGAGTTCAGCACGTAAAAAGTGTCGCTACAGTTCGGGGGAAATCATCATTTGATCTATTTAGCGACTGTCACCTTTGACGTCTGCTGGTTTCGGGTTGTTGGTACTTTCCCCGACACTGGAAACTAAGAAAATAATATTTACTTGCTACACGTGGTATATTTTTGTTCCTCTATCTATGACGGCGACATATAGTGACAGGAAGAACAATGAAATGTTGTCCAGTTTAAAATATGCGCCTTGGCATTTTAAAAGTTGGCAAACAGATCATGTCTTGACTCGTGGTGTAGCAGCATGTGGCTCAAGGATGCAAGCCTTTGATGATCAAGAATAAATTGGGACTTTTTGACTTTGTCATCAGTTCTTATCAATATATCCATCAAGCCGAAAATGCATCTTGGAAGGTAAGAATTTTTATTTTCCTCCCAAATATTTTCTCAGCTGCTCTGATTCCTCAACTGACCGCCCGCCCCCCGCCCCCCAATCAAAAAAAAAAAAGACAACCCACTAACAAGAGGATACTCACAAGCGAGGACGAGGAGGACGGTGAGGCAAGGCAGAGCGAAGACCGGACTCGGCGACATCTTGGAGAGCAGAAACAGACTGTGGACAGAACTTCCCGGCACTCGCTTAAGTGATGGCCGATGAGCGGAGAAAAGTAAGAAGGGCGGGCGAGGGGAGGGAGGGTGAGAGTGGGAGGGGCAAAAGTGAGGGAGGAGGAACTGGAAATGTCTAAAATGAAAAAAACTGGCCTGCAATTTTAGCTGGACTATATAATACTTTAGCACCTTTGTTTGAATTTGTCGAGCTTCCTGATATTTTGTGACGTGCATGTGGGACCCATCGGGATCTGTGAATTTTGTCCCGCCCGATTATTGTTTCCGGCGCGAGCAGCGTTGAAATGAAACAATGCAGACGGCGACGATTCAAGTATGGTTTATTATTAAAACATGAAAATGATTCATTGTAAAAGAAAACAGCGAGGATGCGTTCATCACATGAAAGGTAAATCAAATTGTTAGGCCGTTTCGGCACAAGGATTCCGATCTCGTATTATATTTTTCCACTTGCACGTTTTTTTCCCCCCAGAAGCAACATGCCAAAGGCCATCTTTTTCGAGCCAGTCAGTCTTTGTCAAGCTGAACCGTAAACATTATAGACCGTATTTTCCGCACTATAAGGCACACCTAAAAGCATTCAATTTTCTCAAAAGCCGACAGTGCAATTTATAATCCGAACTACCTTATATATGGATCAATATTCTGATTTCGTGCACGTCGTATTTTAAATGTGCCGCAAAGCGCTTTGTTACAGCTGCAGCGGTTGTGAAAACTCGATACAAATAAAACTGTATTGTATTGTATTCCTTTTGTGTAGCTCCATCTAGTGGATGGATAATGCAACTGCAGCCGCTAATGTGGCTTCTCTTCTATGCGTCTTATAATACGGTGCGCCCTATACGTTAAAACCGTTTTAAAAGAGGCCATTCGTTGAAGGGGTGTGCCTTATACTCTGAAGCGTCTTATCATACGGAAAATACGGTAACTGTTTTTACGAGCTGTGAAAGGCAGCTAAAAGAAACAAAACCAAAGTGTGTCGGTACATCTCTGCGCTACGGCGAGGCTAATTTCACACTGCGCCCTGAAATTATAAGGGTGTCTAAATTATCTCAAGGAAAATAAAAGACTTTTGATCTTCAACCATTAACCCTTTCTGGGACAGCGGTCGCTACAGAGGACAGCCAATCATGTTATCAGGTTACCATTATTGGTGCATGGAAGGGTTAAAGTGAAGTGAAGACATCCGATTGCTTCTGAATACTCTCACAATTTTCCCCAGTCGTCTTTCGTCTTAAAGGATGCGTTTCTCTCCCTTCACCAGGCGCCCTCGGAAGGCCCACATGTCCTGCAGGGGGGGTGGGGTTGACAAATTAGAACCTTTTTTCCAAATGTCGTAATAGCCAGTACCATATTGACACACAATTATAAGTAGCTTCAGTTCAGCTTTTGTGCTTTTGAGTAGTTTCACTGAAATGCTGAAATGACCTGGAAGGTGATACCGACGGCCTCGGGGAGCTTCTTGGAGGCGATCTCCTTCACCTCGTTCTCGATGTTTTCCTGCGTGGTTCCCTTCACGTCGATGTAATTGCAGTCGGAACTGGCGTAGTGGCAAGAAATAGCCTAAAAAAAAAAAAAAAACAGCACCGCAATAAGAGCACGGGTGTCAAACTCATAGCCTGTGGGTTGTTCGGACTTGCATTGCGGGTAGCGTCGTACCTTACGGAACCCTTGCGTCTTATTCATTCCGGAACCGTGAATAAGCAACGGGTGGAAAAAAACAGTGTCCCCCTTTTCCATCTCCAGGTGCACCCTGGGCTGTTGTGGGTCGTAGTCGCGCACCCCGTGGTACATCTTGTTCACGCCGCCCTAAGCATCGGTTGTGAAAATTGACATTGGGGATTCATTTCAAGCCGGCGTAAATCCGGGTGTGGGTTTCATCATCATCCTTGTTTGGGTTTTTTTTTTGTTTCCCATCTCTCCTTACCTCCCACTCTGGGTAGTCGTGCTCCTTGAGCGTTCCCGTGTGCGTTCCCGGCAGGACCACCAGGCACCCGTTCTGCCTGTTCACCCGCTCTAAAGCCGTCCAGGCGCAGACGATGCGGTCAGCCGGGCGGAACGGGAAGTAATGCAGATCCTGGTGCATCGGGTGGCGGGATGTTTTTTTGCCTGCAAAAACAGAACCCACCCCCGGATGAGCGTTTTTAACACCCCGTTGTGGTTGTAAAATTCCGAAGTGTCCTTATACCCGCATCGGGAGGCTTGTTGATGAGCATGGTGTGCATGGCCATGATGTTCGGTCCGGTGAAGCACTCCACATACTTTAGGATCTGACAAGGCAGGAAGTCAACTTTCAGTTCTTGGTTATTGTTCAGTGTGAAAGTTTAAAAATGCGTTTCGGACCTGCGGTAAGGAGCAGTAGCGGAAAAGTTCGGGATCATCCTGGAAGTCTTGGATTTTCGTGATGGCTTTCTGATCGGGAACAAACTCCGATTTGGCGATGGTGATGTCTCTCATGACGATCAGACCGGGAATGCGGACTTCCCGCTTGCAAATGCGCTCAAACTCTTTCCTGTAGACATTTCCGAAACGCGCGGGTGGGTGACTTAACTCCGTTTTGTGCGTCATATCCATTCCGGACGCGTTTGGAGTTTCAATCCGTCACCTGAACAAGTCGATGGCCTCGTCGGCCACAAGCTTCTTGACGAGGAGGAATCCATTTTGCTCATAGAAGAGCCGCTCTTCTGGCTTCAGCAGGTCATTATCAAGCGTGTATCTGGAAAAAAAAAAATCAGACAATGATAATAGTTTCAATCCTTTGTTGAGTAAAAAGTGTCCAAACAATGATAAGGCGTGTTTGTAATATTTTTCGTGAACTTTTTAGCTCCCTTAGAAGCTCGGAAGATTTGGGATTGAACAATATGGACACAATTAAATCCTCTGAGCTGAAACTGGGTAGCTATTTGTCATGATTTATGTTCAGTAAATTCAACTTGTCCGGGGTTTGCACTGTACACAAGGAAAGGCGGGGTGGACGTTAATAATTATTGAATCCATCACGTTTTAACTACGCCAAAAGGGGTCATAAACACTTATACGACTACACAAAATGGATTCCCGCTGTAATCGATAGGTCTGTCCTTACCTGAACTTATGGGGGTGAAGGGCGGAGGTTGGAGCCGACGTCCGTGTTGCCTAAAGGAACTCACGTTAAGGATAATTAGCATAGTTTTCCGCTTTTTTTTTTTTAAATGGTACATTAGATAAGTGAAAACAGCTACTAAAATGTCCAGACAGTTAACTTTTTTTTTTTCGTCAGAGCATCATGTAATGGAGAATCGTTCCGTACTTTTTTTCCCATGATGCATTTGGACAGATACACTTTGAGAGTCTCATCGTAAACTATTTCAAGGGAACGCAGAGCAACGTTAAGTTGCCGTTATGTACACACGTAGCCACCGCTGTTTGCCTCATATTTCAGTCGATAATAACAACTTAAAACATAAACCCCGTACAAAACCATTAGGCGATTAGGTAAAGCGTCGAGTTTGCTGGTTATTAAGCTTGTAGTGGGTACGCGTATAAATATTACAGTTTTCGGGAGCGTTTATGTTGGGAAAATACCGTTAACCGCAACCGTGAACCGGCCAAGTTGTCTCCGGTGGGACCCCGGCCGACGTTGTCTGCGCAGTCCCCAGCTCGATGTACAGCTCCCTGGCTACATAAAATGATCCATAAGAGCTAACGAATCAAAGAGGATACGACCACGGCGGGGGCCCGATCGAGATGTCCGGTCAACAATCTGAGCCTTTCCGCAGCCTGCGACATCGTTCACCCGGTTCGAAGCCGCTCTTTGTGCGTTACTTGGGGGACAATCACCAGCGATATGGATGTAGGTCAAAGAGCAAAACAACACTACACATCACCGTTTGTCAGTGTGTGTGTGAGTGAGTGAATGAAATTACTCTTTGTAGATGAGCAACATGAAATCTCGCACAGTTAAATGCAGCTATAACAATATTATATGCACCATCCACCCATTAACTATTCATTTAACCGATTCTAATCATTCGCTGAACTGTACCAGTGTTAACACATTTTTCCAGCAGAGGGCGCCATATCACCAAAAACCGAAGATGCTCACTTTTGTCTTGAATTTGGCAATTTGTCGTGGTTCTTGGGGGTGTGCACAGTTAAATGCTGTAATGCACGCTGTGGGGGACACCATGTGTGTCACGTGGGGAGTATCTCGTTTTTCTCACCTCAAAATTGTGGAAAAGTACTATGCATTCAATCCAAAATCTTATATTTATATTGCATTCTATAGTGTGTACAGTTCTTTTTCTGAAACATTTACTTGTGCATGCAACACTGTTTTTTCTTTTCTACCCCTCGCCCCCCAATTTTGCTGCTGTAGAATGCAAATTTCCCCAATGTGGGACAAATAAAGGTTATCTTATCTTAAATAGTGCTGCCGGTGACTTGAATGTCAGGGTCTTCCATTAGATGGCAGAACATGCATTTAAGTGTCCACCGTTTGCGTTTAGTACATACAATTCGTGTTCTAAACAAGCCCGTATTCCTCTGTAATACATAAAATTCGTCTTTTGAACAGGCTCAGATTTCTCGGTGATTATAAGTGTATTTGTGAGGAAATAGTGACCAGGTCAACATTATTTCAATATACTGCGTGTGTTGTGTTGTGTTGTGTTGTGTGTGTGTGTGTGTGTGTGTGTGTGTGTGTGTGTGTGTGTGTGTGTGTGTGTGTGTGTGTGTGTGTGTGTGTATAACGGCCAGGAAAAAAGCTTCCTGTACTGTATTATAATTACACAAAATCTATAAAATGATAAATACTTACCGTGTTCTTTTACTGTATTCTCAATTATCAAAGGGTGGAATACATATATACATAGAAAACTGAATAATAATTTAATACAACTTATGTAAATAATTAATTTTAAAAAATACATGTCGATGTTACACCGTGAAGGTGGCGGTAAAGTACAAACTTCTCTTATTGGTCACTAACCGGATGCTGTTTCGCTTTTATTTTTTTCTTATACTCAAACAGGAAGTTGCTTTGCTCTCCTGTGCAGCTTGATGGCAGCCAACTTGACTGCACCCCTCCCGTCCCCCTCAGTCGTTTGTGGAATTGGAGAGATCCTTCTCCAGACTCTTTGATCTGCTCTCACGTCAACAAACACGGCCTTTTTTTTTTGGAGGGGTTCGATCCGTCACCCTTTGCCTCATCTCTCATTTTTTTTTTCATTTCTGAGGACGTCGTGTCATTTCTTCACCAGAACGCCTGGAACCGGAACCGAGCGGGAGCTTCTGTTTTTCGGTCTACTTCTGTAGGCGGATACAGCGGAGGAGGGCATCCGGGCCTGGCAGCTCCGGAGAGTCCGATTGAAACCACGGACTTCACTGTTTACAGGTAACGCGAGCCCCCAAAACAATTCTAGAAACCATCGGTTCTGTCCGATAATGGAGTTTGTGACGTTTCAGCTAATTCGGCTGCCAAAGACGAGGGCGGGAATGCGGTTTGGGTTTTTCGAAAATGTCAACACGAGCGCAAATTGCGATGCCACATTGAATGTTAGTCTTTCGACATTTGACAAACGCCACCGAAAAAAAAACGCATCGCGTCTTAGTGGAGTGCAAATATGTAAGTTTGTTGACATAACGTGTTCATTGTGCACGCCCGTGATGCTCCCGCTCGGTTTCTGCGCCTATCAACAAAATGTAGCAATTCCACTTTTCAAATGTGGCGTGACTCGATAACAACCAACTTATCGAATTGCCTCTCACTTATTCAACACGAAATCGCATTTCGAAAAACAGTGGCTCATTTTCAACACCAAAACTCCCTATCTGCATTTTAACGCACTGATGCAGCTTCTATCTTTTTTCCCCCCCTCTGCATACCTACGATGCTGTTATTTGACCAACGTTGCACCTGCTCCCATTTCATCTCCCCAAAACTGACCTATGCACGTTTCGCCGTGCTTGTTCGACGCCAGTTCGCTTTCACTGTCCTTCATCGGTTCTTAACCTCTTCCATTTGTCCTCATGCGTCAAAACCAGTGTGTGTTCTGACCCACATCCACATGTAGGTTGCTGTTACCCTATTGAGGGTAGCACACCCCCAGAGGACAAAGTCATTATAACGACGTCCCCCCCCTACCAATCCATTGCAGAGGCCATCTAGGAGTGCTTTTATTGATTTGCATTTTGTCGCACACGGTTCCAGTACAGCGGGACTGGAGCTCGGACACGTGCAGACACACGAATGTCTCTTGGAACTGATGGTACATTCTCTGGTTTGATCTTTTCCCGGGTCTAGAAATATTTAACAGAAAAGATTGGACGGGAGATTCAGTTGTTGACAATTCAGTGTTTTTTTTTTTCGATAACATTGAAACCATAGAATGTCCTCTTAGGTTAAAAAAAAAAAAAAGTCCCTGAGGTATATACCAAATATGCAGACATGACTGTCATGTATTGATTCATATTTTGGAGCTTTTTTAAACAGTTGTTTTGTGGTTTTATTTGTTTTTTTTAATGCATGAAGGGCCCGATCAAATACCACAAGTGGGACGAAGGTTCCCAACCTCTGATCTAACGCACTTACAAATTCTGCCTTTACAGGCATAATTATTCTTGATTTTGATTGACACTTGGCTAAAGTTATGAATGTAACAACTGTAGTTATAATTTCTCATGTGGGAGTGCTAAACGGGGGTTTATTTTTGTCGTATTTTGGTGACGTCACTTGACAATAATGCTCATTTTAATTTCGCGCGTATCGCTGGCGATGGTCTGAAACCTCCTCTGTCCAAATTTGTCCAAATGAGTTAACATGTGACATAAAATGGCCGAAATATTACAATCACCCATCCATCCATCCATTTTTGAGAGGCGGCGTCCACCTAAACTGGTCTGGAAGCCAATCGTGGGGCGAACCTTGACAAACATTCAAACTCCCGTTCGCATCTTTGCAAACTCTCGAATCTTCACTCGCGTTTTTGGGATGTCGGGTGGGGAAGCACAAGTGTCGTTTTAATCCGTAGCATTTAAAATCTAGCATCATGAAGAACCAACGTTAATGTTTCTATATTTCCAAATGCACCTCAGCTCTTCGTCAAGCGTTGCGTAAGGCGTCCGGATTGCCCACAATGCTTTGCTGCGACGCAGACTGCGCTTGCTTTATGATCAGCCTCCAAAACACCGTTGCCATTGGCAACCGCGCAGGTTCTCACCTCTTCTCCCTCTCGTTCTGCCTCCTTTACATAACATTCAAATCAGTCCTTTTTTTTTGTGTTTTTGGAGGGGGTGGGGGGGCACGTGTCAAGATTTGAGCAATAGAAAACAACCCATGTGCGGTGACACATGAATCGTGCCCCCCTAACACCTCCAAAAAAACGATGTTAACTATGCAAGGAATGTGGAGTGGCGTCGAGTTCATTAGATCGTGTGCAAAAAAAAAAAAAAAAAAAAAAAATCCTGGTGGAACCGCATGAGACATGATGTGACAAAGGCATCTCATGAGAGACTGCGTGCGCTTCTCGTCCTCTGTGAGTGCGGTCGGATGTCCGAAGGGGCTGTTCGGTCTTGTAGCGTGCGCTCGAGTGTGTGTTCATTCGTCTCGCACACATTCCGCTGTAACAACGCCCCAAGTCGCGTTTGTCGACACTGTCGCGGTGCGCTTCCAGATGTGGGTGTGTGTATGTGTGTGTCGAGTCGGGTAGAAGGGAGATTGGCTCATAATCCCGGGGATTAAAGAGCGGCATTTGTTGGAGCGACATCAGACGGGGATTTTGCACACAGGCTCGGGTCACATCAGTGTCGAAAACAGGCCGCTGCTCATTCGTGATGAAATAACATCAGGTGGAGTGAAAGCGCATGAAAATTTGCACATGAAAGCGGGGCAGGTGTTTTAGTTGCGGGCATCCGTACGGGAAGGAGCCGCGCGCAGTTTGACAAATTGGCACAAACGACGTCCCTTGAGTGTTCGGGGGGGCGGTACAATTGAAATAAGGTGTTTTGTTTTCAACCGTGTATGAGTCCAGGGAATATTTTTGCACATTACCCCCCCCCCCCAAAAAAAAAATCCAAAACTATTCTAAGCCTAGGTGGCCCGGTGGTCCAGTGGTTAGCGCGTCGACCTCACAGTGCAGAGGTACCGGGTTCAATTCCAGCTCCGTGGGTTTTCTCCGGGTATTCCGGTTTCCTCCCACATTCCAAAAACATCCATGGCAGGCTGATTGAACACACTAAACCAGTGGTGGGTGTCAAACATACGGCCCTCGGGCCGGAACCGGCCCCCCCAGGAGGTTCAATCAGGCCCGCAGGATCGTTTAAAAGTGAAAAAAATACATCGACACGGAATGAATACTTTTAAAAGTTTTGTGCCTTAGTACAATCAGCGGGATCAATTGCAATGCATATCTGTGAATGATCAAAGTAAATTGCACATTTGTCGAAGGAAATCTAAGGTGCTTCATGTAATGTTTTGTAAAAAAAATGTTTATTGAATTTTAACATTTTACAAATATTCTTGTGCTTCTTTAGACCAAAACAAAGGAAAGACATGTTACTTTGGTTATTAATAATAGCAGAGTATGGAAAATTTTAATGGTCCGGCCCACTTGTGAAATGAGTTTGACACCCCTGCTCTAAACTGTCTGTAGGTGTGGGTTTTCTCGGGGTATTCCGGTTTCCTCCCACATTCCCAAAACATCCATGGCAGGCTGATTAAACACTCTAAACTGTCTGTAGGTGTGAGTGTGAGCGCGGATGGTTTGTTCGTCTCTGTGTGCCCTGCGATTGGCTGGCAACCGGTTCAGGGTGTCCCCCGCCTACTGTCCGAAGACAGCTGGCATAGGCTCCAGCACCCTCCGCGACCCTTGTGAGGATAAAACAGATCGGAAAATGAATGAATGAATGAATATTCTAACCCTGGTTCAAAATGAACCATCACAAACTCGTGTGAAATGGAAGTCAGTCATACTTGGAACGCTGCGTTCTTCACTCCGTGCTGACTCAGGCCCCGAGCCGATTCCATTTGAAGTCAAACGGACCCAACAAATCTGACGCTGAGCTATCAACAGTCCCGATTATGTTTCAATACTTGCTTTCATTTCGAACCAAATCTTCCCAAACACGTGCGGGGCATCTCGCTTATAAGAGGGGTGTGCACACTTGGGCAACCACATTATTTCATTATGTCATTTCTTTTGACTTCCCCCTCTCGAAAGGCCGACCAAAAAAAAAAAAAAAAAATGAAAGGTACAAGTCATAATCCACATGAATGGTAGGAAATGTTTTGAAAAGATCGATTTTGCTCCCATTTTATTCCATCACTCAAACTCGGGATTTCAACAGGAGCGTTATTATTTATAACCTCGGTCGAATTCTTGATCCGAAAGGCTGAGTTGGGGCCCTCGCACATTTGCGCTTACTGTACGCCCATTCTCTGCGAGAAGTGCTGATTGCCACTGCTGACTTATCAATTAAAAAAAAATAAAATAAATAAAATTAAAAGGCAACCAGGAAGAGAGCTCCGATGCGGTTTTTGCCCACAGCACGTGACGTGGCAAGCGTTAAACAACACAATCGAGTCAAACCTGTAAGCGGTCGCCGTCTCGCGAACGCGGCAGGGTTCCAACGCATGATGAAACCGTTGCGGTACGTTTTCCCCGAGCTTTCATTTTCATAACCAAATGTAACCGAAGGGTGTGTCTTTTTTTTTTTTTTTTTGCGGGGAGAAGTCAGTCTACGGTACACTTTTTAAATCACATTGTTATCACGTCCCGTAGATATCAAGGAAAGCCACTCTTAGAGCTGGTGTGGCGCAAGAAATTGCTAATTTTTCTTTTTTTTTTTTAACATTTCAGAACTCACAGGATGACGAGAATTAATAGAAGGAGGTTGGAAGCTAACTTTCTCTACTTACTGCTTGTAATTCATTCATTCATTCATTTTCCGATCCGCTTTATCCTCACAAGGGTTGCAATGGGGTGCTGGAGCCTATCCCAGCCGTCTTCGGGCAGTAGGCGGGGGACACCCTGAACCGGTCGCCAGCCAATCGGAGGGCACACAGAGACGAACAACCGTCCGCGCTCACACTCACACCTACAGACAGTTTAGAGTGTTCAATCAGCCTGCCATGGATGTATTTGGAATGTGGGAGGAAACCGGAATACCCGGAGAAAACCCATGCAGGCCCGGGGGAGAACGTGCAAACTCCACACAGGGAGGCCGGAGCTGGAATTGAACCCCTTTTTCCATGCAGCTCTTGTCCGTCAAGTGAATGAGTACAGTCGTCGAGCCTGCTCCTCCAAAGCATTTTCGAGCGCTATGTCAACACCCGAATGGAGCGCGAGGCTTTTAACCGGACGGCGATCGTCTTCCGGTCCACTGCGCCCAGCGGAAAACCGAGCACACGCAAGCGTACGCCTTCGCGCCTTCGCGTGCATGGTGTCAAGACGCGGGCTCATCGATGTTCATGCATCTTGCGCTCCGTATCGATGCGGCGAACAGACAGAAAGCCCACAACTGCATAGGAAAAAAAAAAAAGCTATTTTTAGCTACTGTACACCGCAGAGGTTGATTGTTCACCGCGCATCACGATTGGCTAGTTCCCACGCGCATCTTCGTCCGATTAAGCGGCCGTTCGAGCTCGTGTTGTGTTCCGAGCTTGACCGAGATCACCGTGTGTGTGTGTGTGTGTGTGTGTGTTTTGGGCTTGATAACAACACAGTCTTGATCCACTGATTTCAAGGATCATCCTTCTGTAATTGAAGATTAGAGTGTCCTGCCTTAGTCGTGACCTTAGACGCTAGCATGCGCGCGCGCACACGTGTGCCCAAAAGCTTTGGGGAATTTGTCTCGTCCTGGGTCCAGGAGGCATTTGCGTTTCGTCATGTGGGCCGATAACGGCTCACCGCGTCGCTCTGTTGACATTCGTATGCTTACAGGCGGGGGGGGGCGTGCTTTGCAAGGCTTCACAAATCTATAAATAACACGTCGCCTTCAACTCCGGCCTTCCTCTCCGCCGTCTTTTATCTTCATTTCTTCCTGTTTTTTTTTTTGGAGGCGTTTTCTTGACACTTTTTTGTTTCCTCCCCCCTCACTTGTCCTTCATCTTTCTATTAATATTAACATTTCCACCTTTTGTGATGTTGCTCACAAGAAATCCGCGAAGCCCCTGTGGGTCAATCATGCTGCAGCTCACCCCTTTTTTTTTTTTTTTTTTTGGGAGGCTTCTCTCAAGCAAACAAAAGGGTCTTTGAGCCGAGAGCGCCCACCGCGCCGGGCAAAGCAGTACCCGATGCAGTTTTGTATGCGTCCTCATGGCTACACAAACACATGCTTGTGACTGCACTCTTGGCAGCGAAAGCCTTTGAAACACTTCTGACGGACACAAAAGGAAATAGTCATCGGGGCGGGGGGGGGCTTTTATTTGTAAGGCGTCAGTGTTCACTCACCGCAAGGTTAAATTGCATAGAAATGAATCAAAGATGCTTGAGTCAGTCATACCAGCCGGCGGGATCTTTTTTTTTTTTTTTTTTTTTTTTTTTAAATCTCGCCTCTCCCTTCTGGCGCTTCAAGATGAATGTTGTCATGTGTGGTGACGTCAAAAAAGTCAGCACCTGTGTTAGGTCGCATTTCGCCAAGCGGCTTTGTCAGCTCCAATGTTGTTTTTTTTTTTTTTTTTAAATCTCAAATAATCTGGAGCCAGGGACTAGTCTAATGATTTGATTTGATTTGATATTTTTTTTAATGATTATTTATTTGGAATCATACAAACACAGAGACGGTTTGGGTTTTCTGTGGGTGACTCATTGGCAAAGAGCCTCTCGTCTTCTCACTCGGTGTGAGTTTCGTCGCGGGCTTCCGTCGCTTGATTGTCCTTGTCAGATTGTCCAGATGTACCTGTCTGACTGCTTCTCCCCCCCCCTCCCCTCCTCCTCCTTGAGGTGCCATTATGCTTCTTGGAGCGTTTCCTCGGCTAACTTCTTTGAGCTGCGCAGTACGCGGCACATTTTGAGTTGCTACTTCCCTGGTCGTGTCAAATAGCGAACTCATAATGAGAAAGAGAGACAAAGACAACAACAATTTTAAAAAAATGTGGCGTAAACTCAGACAGCTAAAATCCAAATTCAGCCATTTTATTGATTGCTTAACATCACTGCTATGGTGAAATGATATCGAAGCGTTCATTGACTTGTGGTACTTTCTCTTGCCACGTGTGACGGCCGGAAACGATTTATTTCCGGCCATTAATTGATCCTAATGTGGCACTTCAGAATGTTGAATTACGGGCTGCCTCACGCTAAATTACACGGCAATGAGGATACGCCGCTGTTGCCTGTTATTTTCTCAGCTACCCAACGTCAAGTCTTTGGTTTGGCGTGTTGCGGTCTCCCGCCCTCCCCCCCCTGAAATTTGCCGTCTGTTTTTTAACACCGTTGCAAAAGGACAGTTGCCAGGGACATGAGTGAGTTGCGCACCCCCCACCCCCCACCTCTCTGCTTCACCACATCGCGCTGCACATGCCCGCAGTCACTCGGGCGATTTCATGGCCCTCCAAGCAAACACAGAGACGCCATTATGTCTCCTGTCTCTCGGTTCTTCCCTCCCTCTTCTGCTGATTCCCTTTCGCACTCTCCTCCTGACTTTAATGACGCATTCCTGTTTTTTTCTGATATCCTTCGAAAATGAGGTGAAAGAAAGAGGAAAGAAGGGGGGGAGGTGTTTCACGACGGCGGTGTAATTATTCGTGGCGGTAATTAGGCCTCCGGGTCTTGATGGCTTCCCCTGTGAAGTTTTCGCTGAGATTGACTACCCACAGTGCCCTTGGGATGCTTCCAGGAGGTGGGCAATGGGAGTTATGGGTAAGATTATTATTATTTTTTTTTTTCGGGAGGGGGTGTGGGTCAAAATTTTAAGAATTTGCAGATGATGAAAGAGAATCTGTCAATCGGGGTGGCGTGGGGTGGGGTGGGTATTCCCTCTATTTGTAGACGTTGACAGGTTTCACATTCCCCCACACACATTGCCATCATAGGCATCAGCTGACACACACACACACACACACACACACACACACACACACACACACACACACACACACACACGTCACTAGTCTTTGTTTGGCAGCAGAGATAAAACCCAGCTCTGTTACGCTGCTCTGTATGGGGGACAAAGACTACTTATCTGTGTGTGTGTGTGTGTGTGTGTGTGTGTGTGTGTGTGTGTGTGTGTGTGTGTGTGTGTGTGTGTGTGCGTGTGTGTGTGCGTGTGTGACTGAATTCGTTTCACAACCGCATGCTCATTTTTTTTAATGCAGTTGTCATCGTGATTACAGTGGTTTCCCTTCAACTCGGTTCTATGGCTGCGTAAGAGTGTACTTGTGACTGTGTGCGTGCGCGCAGGGGTCATCAGCTCCGCCTGATGACAGCGCCATGAGGGTTGGCATGGCACACTTCCTCGTCAACAAGCGTACCGCATGCAGCAAAAGCTCTGTCGGAGGATAAAGGAATTGAGTACACGCTCATTTAAATATTGAAAGGGATTTTTGTTCCGAATGTTTATTTATTGATTTTATTTATTTATTTTCTTCTTCAGTGATGTAGGAGTGTTCCAGATATACTAACACCAGAAAGATCTTTAGCTCCTGCTAATGCATTACTTAGCGCGTTAATGTGTACATTTCTGACATCAATATTAATTTTTAGCCACGCTGAACTCAATCAGTGACGTTTTCCTGTGCCAAAATTGTCTGGCACAGACCAGGCCCTATCAGTTGCACTGTGTCCAACCAGTATAAATGTTACACGTTGCCTCTAATTTTTAACTGGGAGGCGAGAAATTGTAACTTTGACGACGAGGCAAAAAATAAAGGGCCTAACATGGTTACGGTTGCTATGGAGCTGCGGATATATATTTCCGCCATCCTCATTGGTGCAAACTTCATCAACACGATGACGAGTTTCCACTTCCGTAGCCTGTTTGGCTAGATTCCACTTCCGTAGCCTGGTTGTCTAATTATTATTATTTTTTAAATTGGGCCGACTACAGCTGACCGTGTGGCATACTGAGGCTTTTCCAGAATGTGCTAAGGTCGCACATAATTGGACGGATGAGTAACTGTGCGAAACCCCGCAATGATTAATCACTCGCAGCATGGGCCCGACACAAATGACAACCCGCTGAAGGGATGCGTCATGAGTGGGAGCTGTCCACGGGAAGAAGGAAGGAAGGAAGGTCCGCTTGATTGTTGTTGGGGGTCAGCCGGGACGGGCGGGACATTTCTGCCGTCTGTTTCCTCCCTGACGTTAACCCCCACCCCCATCCCCAAACCACATCATTTTACTGTGCGCTCACGGTTGACGGGGCGTTGACACAGCAACACAATGAGCAAGGAACAGCTGGAGGGCGATTGAGCAAGGTGTTTCCTGCCGCCGCCGCTGCGTCAACACTTCGTCTGGATCAACAAGCCCCTGCAACCAACGCTTGACGACGTCCTCTTCTCCTCCTCCTCTGACTAATTAGTCTAATCTCCCCTGGTTGAAAAGTGAAAATAGGCCCATTCAAATCTGTGATATCCTATCTTTTATTCATGCTTCTTTTTTTTTTTTTTTTTGGTCATGGTTTATGCATGGCCTGCTCACACAGTTGTCGAGCGGATTAATATTGGATTAAAAGAAGCCGTGCTTCATTCATGAGGCCGGTCAGAGCAGAGGAGATTGTCTGCAATTCCACCTGCTGCCGCCGAGCACCGACGGTTTTGTTAAATGTGGTTTTCGGTGCGACGCCGGGACGAACGTTGACCGCGCTCGCGTTTGTGTCTCTCTCGCAGGCCGCGCACCGCCCCGCCATGGAGAAAATGAAGAGGATTAAGAAGCGTCTGTCGTTAACGCTCCGCTCAAGTCAGACCATCGACGAGTCGCTCTCCGAGCTGGCCGAGCAGATGACCATAGAGGACGGCGGCACCAAGGACAACGGTTGGTATTTGTCATTGGTGCCAACCGTGCTCGATATATATATATTTTTTATTAATTCCTTGGTCCAAAGAGGCCTCATTTTAACTTCCGCAAATGACGTCACCACATAAACAAGATGTCGAGTCAGTCGCCGTTGAGATTCGATTCATTTACATTTTAGGCGAAGAAAGCACTAGATTTAGTCATCGTTTTGTTTTGATAAAAAAAAAAAGTTGTGCCGGTGCTAGCTTGTATGCTACCCCAAAAAAACAACTCGTGGGAAATAATTTATGCCCACAGATTTTTTTTAATCTATTGTATAAAGTTGACAGCATCATCACGTTGCATATTATCATTTGCATTTTTCTGTGGCTGATATTTTATTGTTATAATCAACTTTATGATAATTACCAAAAAAAGTTCCAAAACAAATAAAATGCTTGGGTAGCAGCAGTCGGTCTATTGATTTGTGCAAATATTTTCTTTCCCAGTGTTGTCTTACAGTCGCAATGTGTGTTAATATTTTTCGATTTGAAATGTTATTTCGGTTGTGACTACATGCAGGTACTTTAATGGAATAGATACCTTAACCCGGTTCCTTATGTTCATCCATCCTTTTTCGAAATAATAGTGTCTTACCATGTGTTACTTTTATTCAAATGCAAGTCGAGTCCTTCTACTTTTACCAGACTATTCGTAAACCGAGCAATAAAATACAGTTTAGTTAAAAAAAGTCTTAGCCTGCCAATACCTTCAACAGTAATTAAATATCTCACATTTTATCATCGTAAAGAGAAAAGTGCTCTTCGCAACTTGCATGCTCTCATGGGCCTTTAAATTATTCCACACTGATGGTGATGCAGAGTGAATGAAAACATTTGTGTGCGCGTGTGAGAGCGACGGACGGCAGCGATGGGGATGAAGAGCTCTTTATCGGCGTTATGTAACAGGAGTGAGGACACCGACATATTTGCATAAGCACACACTCAGCCCTTTAAGCGAGAAGGTCAGTTGGGAACCTGTCAGCTTAGAGTCGTTAAGACGCAGTTTACAGTTTGAGGAGCAACAGCATTTAAAGCTTAGTCGCCATGCATGACGGCATTAAGTATTATTATTATTATTATTATTGTTGTTGTTGTTGCTGTACTTTACAGGAAATGTTTTTTTTTTTCATATTTCTGATCTGTTGTTGCTCGATATATACGGAGGATCTTGGTTCTATTTACCCACATGTTGAGTTAGTTTTTAGTCTGTCGTATGAGAGGTAACAGGGGGATAGACGGGTTAGTGCACCTTTTGTGATCGAGTCGCCGCCATTAATAGATGATGAACAAAGAGATACTTAAATTAATAATTACTTTTGGAGCAGGTAAGTGAAATCCGCTGCGACTCCAACCTCCAATTGAATTGGCAGGAGCTCGCCAAAATAAAAGTGAGATACGCATCCGGTCTTATGCATATTCTCTGCGACCTCAAGTCTAGTGACGTATAAGCCAAGCTGCGGCGTTTCCTGTCGGCTTCTGACACTGCGCAACGTCGTCCTTGAAAGTACGACGACCTCGGGGTTAAGCCTTCGATAAATTATGTCCATTCAGTAATCCCCGCCGTGCGTTTCCGAATGAACTCCGCAAGCGTGATGCAACACTTGAAACAGAACCGTCCTCGTTGTCTTTCAGAGCCCTTCATGAGGAATGGCCGCCCGCCCACCTCCCACAGCATGCACTCCTTCCTGCACCAGTACACGGGCTCCTTCAAGAAGCCGCCGCTCCGCCGGCCGCACAGCGTCATCGGCGGCACACTGGGATCCTTCATGTCCATACCGCGCAACGGCAGTCGCTTGGGTGAGGCATTGACATAGTGATTTTTATCTCCCCTCTAAAGGGAATAAAGGAAAAGTTGAGATCTGGCCAACAGTTGGCCTCTGACGACAAACAGGAAAAGTGCCCGAGTCGTTTTCACCCCGGGTGACGATATTTCCTGTGAATGGATTCGCGACCGATGTGTAGCGTCATGTCAAATCCCCGAGGGAGGGTGGGAAGTGATTCATCGTGATCATCTCACTTTCAGAGTGTGGGACAATTATTTGGTTGGGCATGAGTTTAACCCTTTTCAGGGACGGCGGTTACGACAATGGACAGCTAAGCGTGTTATCAGGTTACAGGGTGCATGAAAAGGTTAAAAAAAAAAAAAAAAAGTTGAGGTCAGGGCTGAAACGATTAATCGAATAATTTGATGGCTAACAGGGTGGAAGCGAATTCTCTGCTTTGAAGCATTGCGCGGATCCTTTTTTTTCCCCTGACACGGACTAATAACAGTACTGCAGATGCCAAGAGGAAGCAGTTGCTCAAAGACAGCATGTGAAAAATAATTTGGGGCTTTTCGCACACTGGTTTACCATATCATGATTGCAACATGAGATAATGTGTGAAAGTGAATTTAATATCGCCTGCCACCACCGTTTAGTTAATCTCGAAAAAACCCCCGTAAGTGGTCAGACATAAATCATAAATTTAATTTGAACCAAATATCTAATGAAATATATATATTTTTTTGTAACTGTAATGTTTGGATGCAATTATTTGCAAACGCAAATTAACAATTATTAAAAAAACAAATGCTGAGTTTAATTGAAACATTTTGGGGGTGGGGTGGATGTCAACGCCACAGATATTACTGGACTCTTCATTATGTAAATGCTCAGTCGGTCAGATTGAAAATTTTGCCCATTTTGTCGATTTGCTCGTTTCTCTCCTCCGCGCAGATATTTTTCTCCCGTATTGTGTGTCACTCTTCAAGCTTTTCTGCATGGCGCTCGTGCACACGTCAGGTTTCTAAGTCGGTGCCTTAGAAGGTACGAAGGCAGAATGAAAGACGGCCTCAATGGGGAAAAAAAAAAAAGTCTCTCTCCACCGATCCGTGTAAGAAGTCATTCACACCCGTTTGAAATCACACAGGATTTTGCTATCAGTGGTATGATAAACATCTCTCTTTAAATATGTGCAACCAGGCGGGTTGATGCTATTATGTTTGTGGATGGTTGATCGACTCGCTCGGGCCTCGTTTTGGACCCTGGCCCAGATTGGAGGAATGCGGATGCCCAAACAGGCCAGTTATGTAGGACAAAAGCGTCGCTATCATCATAAGGACGCGAGATCGCTGAGGGGAGATTTTGATGGTGTTGGTTTGTAAGGCTTTGTGCGTCTCGGAAAGGGCTGACGGATAAAGCTTGTCTGAATAATGTGCGCCGAGTAGGTCAGGAGCAAGGAGACGCAACAGCAGGGAGGTGATGGGGACATGCAAATGAGGATGCGAAAGTGGACGGACGGTGAAAGGGAAAGGAAAGTGGGGCACATGGAGGAGAGATTCGAGGGCTCTGATAAGAGGGGAAGAGGATGTTCGAAAGTGAGAGAAAGAAGTGAAATGAAGTGGGGTGTTTTTTTTTTTTTTTAATTAAGGCACAAAAGACATGGAAAAAAATGCGGCTACGGTGAGCAATAGCCAAAACGGCCCCTAAGATGAACAAAACAGAAAAATGAAGTCGACTCAAAAGTTTGAGGGTTTGTGAAAAGGAAATCACTACCTACCTTTGTCGAGACCTGACGCGGAGGCACGGGACGCACTTTTGCAGCGTGTTAACGATCTTAGCTCACGTGTACCGTTTTAAAATGCTTTTCCCGGCACTCCAGATTCTTTGCCCGTGCCCTTGCCGAATTGTACACAAAACCAACTCCGTATGAGAAGAATAATCATAACAATAAAAGATATAGCTCTGATCTCAAGCTGCAATTCCAACCTGCTAACCGCTAACAACTTCCGGTGATGCAGGTCATGTGCCACCGTCGGTTAAAGTTATTTTAAAAAATATTTTTTTGTAAAAGTGAGACTGATAGGATGCTACCAGTGCAGCGTGCACTAACACAAAAATATCTCATATTAATAACACACACACACACACACACACACACACAGACATACATGCTAGCATTCACAAGCTAGCACGCGTGCTAGCGAGAAATGCGCTTTTAACATCGTTCTGTCCTTTTGTCCATCCATGGCGGTGATGTCTCGCGGAATTTCTGGTATTCCCGCTTGCATTTGCGTCATCTCCCCGCACACTTTCATTTCCTGCCGAAAGAACCCTTTAATTAGCAGCCTCCCGGTTGTGTCTTGACGTTTTTTGGCGTGGTTGACCTGGCGGAAAACCCAACTTGTTTTCGAGGGGAAATCTCACCGCGCTGTAATTTCGAAAGCCGGCCGACCCCGCAATTTTAGCTGGCGTGCTAATTTTAGCCGGTGCCGCTGCGTACAATATGTTTTAGCGCAGCCCCGGGGGCGTCATCCCGTTTGTGTACTTCCTTTCCTCCGCTTATGTATGTTTGCTTAGTGACGTTTTTTTCACTTGGCGTCACATCTATTTCAAACAGAAGCCTTGCGCTATGACCAATTAGCGACGCATCCACCTGGAGAACAAACACCTCGAGCAGTACTGGAAACCTTTTCATCCCATTTGATTTGCTGAAAGTGGGCCAGCATCGGAGAAGTCGCTGGCTTTTAACAGGTTCAGGGCACAAAGTACAACAACGTTTAGGAATCCGTCTCTAACTTTGTCTGTAATATTTTATTCCGGGTAACAGACTGTCGGCTTTCACTCGGTGTGCATCTGTGCGTGTTTACCCGACAGGTTTTTTTATTTTTTTTTGAGGGAGTGGTGTGCTTGTGCTTCGGGCATCGTTTCCCTTTGCAAGCTGCGGTCGTTTTTACAGCACTATAAGATGTGGTCATGTGTTTATTTACACTCCGGCCTCGGAAGTGACAAGGGCCCGGGAGGAGTCCAGCGTTTCGACATTCAATTTGCTCGACTTTGTCACAATTGAATTTGAATATTTGTTATTGTTGAAGCTGTTAGGTTTGACCAAATTTTATGATTCATTGTCAAATCTCCCCTTCTAGTGTTGATTGACAGACATCCTAATCAATTGAATTTATCAATCAAGGGTTGGGGAAGACTCGTTAAATCTTCCGGCCAGGTGTCCCAATAATTTTGTCCTTATTTGCTGATAGAAAAAAAGAACAAACAAAAAAAACGTTGACTGCTAAAATTATTCAAATGAGAGTTGCAACCGGTCGCATAATTAATGTGGGTCAAACATGGCTGTTTTTTGTTTTTTTTTTTTTTTTTTTTTTGGGGGGTTTTTTTTGCGCGGGGTGAATTGTAAGCATGCAATGCAAAATTCATTACCACAACTAACTGAAAACAAAGTTTTAAAAAAATTTGACACACAACAGACGGATTTTTATCTTGGGTTACATATGTTCATAAAATGTTCTTTCTTCAAACAGGCAAAACCCGAAGGACATTCACACACTGGCGCAACTCATCTCCGCCTACTCTCTGGTGGACACGGACAAAGCCAAATCGCATCCTTTTTAAAAGCAAATCACATTTTCTCTCTTAGTTTCTCGAGCATGTCTTACAAGTCGAAGTTTGAAAGCTTTTGCATTTTCCTCAACGTTCCCTTCCAGCCTGAGCAAGCACCTCCCTTCAGCGGACACCATGTCCTTCAAGGTGGACGTTGACGAGCTGGAGAACTCGCACGGAGCCACGTACGTCAGGAAAAAGGCAGCCAAAGTGGCAGGAGAAAATCTTCCTAAAGAAGAAGGGTAACACTTTATTCTTATCCCTTTAATTGCCTTGATTCGATTTTTTTTTTTTTTTTTTTTTTTTTCTGGTGGGTTTGTTTAGCCGAGGAACCCAAAACCTCGCTCGTGTATCGGAACCTCCACACATAATTGCCGCTTGGCAGTGAGCCCGGTGCGTTGCGGTCGTTGAGCGATTCCACCTTTTCCGAGCAAAAATCTGTCTGCCTCAACACCCGCTTAATCAATACTTAACCTGCATCAGGAATGAAGTTATCTGCTGCATTTATCTCATACATATTGTTTGTGTGTGTGTGTCCGGTTCAGACATTGTGCACGAGAACCTGAAGATGGGTTCCGACGGGGAGAGCGACCAAGCATCGGGGACGTCGTCAGACGAGGTCCAGTCGCCGACGGGCGTCTGTCTGAGGAACCGAGTCCACCGGAGAATCTCCATGGAGGTAATATCAACGCATCACTGTAAACCGAGGAGAGGGGGAGGTGGTGGGCGTTCCATCTCGCCTTTTAATGGCTTCTGGGTGTCGGGATACGGATATCAGCGCCGCTCCATATAGGCCCACGGCAACGAGGGGGTTTACGAGCTCTGGCGTGACTATCAGTGTTTCAGGTGGGCTCATGTGACCGAGAGCGTGTCTGGATGCATGGCGTCGACATGGTTCTTCCCCTAAGGAAGTCCATCGGGCTTTATTGCCTCGTCTCAAACTGGATCGCGGAGATGACAAAATGTATTTTGAAGTTGATCACAGATTGTAGTTTACAATTAAGATTTTTTTTCAGTTTTTAAGTCTTCGGCAATTATTTAATCATGCACATTTGAAAAAGGTCCAATTTCGATGTAAAATGGTTCTTAGGTACGTTAAATCAAAAAAAAAATATATTGAAGAAAACAAAAATCATTTTGTTCAATATACAGTACATGGACATTTACGATCATCGACATGAATTATGAGACGAATAATTCACCGCGATAGACTTAGATTAGATTAGATTAGATATCCTTTATTTGTCCCACACTGGGGAAATTTACAGCCTTCAGCAGCAAGATTGTGGGTAGAAAGAAGAGAAAAGAAAACACAGTTCAATTAAGTGCAATATAAATACAAACATGGATAAGGTCAATAATTAAGTGCAATATAATACAATAGTCACAGTACTATTCACATATGTTGTCATATCATTTAAATAATTCTATGCTTTATTGATTTATTCATTTTTTATTCAGCAGCCTGACAGCAGTCGGTAGGAACGAGCGGCGGTATCTCGAATACAAATGTAGATGGAGAGTATTGCTACTGCTTTCTACTTTCTTCCAAATATTTGGAGAGAGATAAATAATAAATACACAAATATTTGACTAAATCAATTATAATTAACCTATTTTAGGGGAAGGGGAAACCGCGAGATAAAGCCAACAAAAATTACAAGTCTCTTGCTGTTATAAAAATTGCACATACTTTGCCCATCCCTGACTCAAAATAAAATAAAATAAAAACTCGTACTATAAGTTGGATAAGTGTCAGAAGATCCTGCCTGCCCGCCATCAACATTCTTAACCCTTTCATGCGCCCTGTAACATGAGAAGCTGTCCACTGGAGTAACCGTAACCATAAATCATGACGCGGATGTTTTGCACCCACTGGGATGCTGCGCTCAGCAGCCTTCTGCCCCCTACTGGATAAAAAGCTTCCCAAAACAAAAAAAAGTGATGTGAATTTGACAACGCCGTTGATGGACCGAAACATCCTGGAGGTGACTCAGCAATCCATATGATGTCACGCTTTTCGATCCTTCTCCCGAAGACGTCAAAAAAAGGCGCCATTGTCCACGTTTCAAGTGATCAGACTAATCCCCGAGCTGTTATTTTAGCGGGGGGGAAAATAATAGCGTCTCTGTCGCAACGTCTTTACATAATTTGATTTGAAAGGCCCTTTTGTGTGAAAACAAACGGCCCCACCGTTACGTAACGCAATTTAGCATCTCGCACGTTGAGTCATAAAAATCGAGACAGCTGCTCCAATCGTAGCTGCAATGATATAATTCTTGCATCCGGGCCAAAAACTTTGGAGCCCGCGCAAGAACCTCGTGCTATTTTTACACAACTCCCTTCAGTTTCGTCCGCATTTGATCAAGATTAGACTTCCAAGAACACATCCCGTTTTTTTTTTTTTTTTTTTGCACAACGGCGCTGCAGTCACATGAAAGGTGCAAGTGTACCTAATTTTGTGTGCAGATCACATTTATATAACTGATGCATTCACCGGCCATGTGCCGTCGAAATATCGGGTTTTTTTTTTTTTTTTTTAGACATCGTTCTACCTTGTGAGATGACAGACCTGATCTGTTTTGTCTTGCGGCGCATCGGAGGAGATGCGAGCGATTTATTTTTGCCTCCCCTGTCTCTGTGAGAGCGTGGGTGGGCTGCTTTTGTCTTGCGGATAGCGCTCTGTTCTTTCCGTGTGTCATAATTGCATCCAATAAGCAAGGGAAGATTAAATGTCAGATTTAATCGGATGGTAAAAATATATTTGGCGGTGTGGGGGGGAAATACATGAACATCTGTGCGGGTTTGCGTTTTCAGGACCTCAACAAACGCCTGTCGCTGCCCGCTGACATCCGAATTCCCGACGGCTACTTGGAGAAACTGCAGCTCACCAGCCCGCCCTTCGACCAGCCGCTCAGCCGTCGCTCGCGCCGAGCCTCGCTGGTACGTATCTGCCCGCGCGCGCGCGCGCGTGTGTGCCACTTTTACAGCCCCGCGGCGCTGGGAGCAGCCTGTGCTGCCTGTTGCCATGACAACCGACCCAGCAGGGAGCCCGAGACGTACCAATCTGGAGACACGAGCGCTTGCGTGTTTTATTTGATTTGATTTATTTATTTTTTGAGTCGGGCAATGTCGATTGTTACCGGATGCCCGAGATATGACATAAAGATGCTCTTTTTCATGCTCCTTGAAGATTTATATGCCAAGGGTGGGCAGACTTTTGTGCTGAACGGGCTACATTTTAGTTACGGAACATAGGCCAGGCCATTTGTAGATGAGAAGTGGGGGAAAGGAAAAAATAAATAAATAAAATCTTATCTGGAAAATGTGGAAGCTCGTTCCCACTGTTTATCTATATTTTTTCAAATATATAATTTTTTAAATCTCTAAAATAGACACATTGTTTGCAAGAAATAAATTCACTCTGTTGTTAAAAAAAAATAATCACCTAAAATATTTTTCCTGTTTTTATTTCCTCGCAGTTATTTACAATAAATAAATTTCTGAATGATTAAATGCATTTAAAAACAGGAACATTTTAATCTCTATGGAAAACTAATTATTTTATTTACTATTGAATGATTTCTGACTGCCACATTTGTTTTCAGGGAAATGAATCAAATAATTTAAGACATGAATAATGAATGTGTCGGTAAACTGGTTAATGTTCACATTTTTGTCATTAATTTAAAATAAATCATTTACACTCTAAATGAACTATATGAATGCAGAATATATATATATATATATATTTTTTTTAATTCCCCAATAAAATTTTCTTGGAAAGTATCATAAGATTGGTCTTTATTTTTCTGTGTTTTTTTAAGTCAGTTGAACATAAAAGCTAAATTAAAAAAATATATATATTTTATCATAACAATATGTGAAACAGTGGTTTATTTACAGTTAAAATATTCAATGAAAAAATGAATTTAAAAAAGGCATCAAATGATTTTATCGGTATTTTTCTTTCATCTTTTGTGATTTAGAAATCGTTCAACCAAAATATCAGTTGAGACGAAGCACTAAAAATAAATACAAGCCTAACGAAGCGGTTTTCGGAAAAAACGCTGAAACACGGACAAATTCCTTCATGAAAACATTTTTTGATTGCTCGCAATAATATTTGCCCTGTCACGCCTTGACTTTTTGACTGTTTTTCATTATCATCTCCTCCCCCCCGTGACGTTTTCTTAGTCGGAGATTGGTTTTGGCAAATTGGAGACCTACATCAAGCTGGACAAACTGGGCGAGGTGAGGAAAGCTCCAAAAATCAAAAACGGAGCAACGGTGAAGCGGCGGCGGCGGTGAACTCAATTCTGGGGCGCTTTCCCCCCCCCGCCGCTTCTTTTCCCTTGCAGGGAACGTACGCCACCGTTTTCAAAGGACGCAGCAAGCTGACCGACAACCTCGTGGCCCTCAAGGAGATCCGGTTGGAGCATGAGGAGGGAGCACCGTGCACAGCCATTCGAGAAGGTAATGCCAAGTAGGGGTCCCCGTTCCGTATTTGAACCCGCTTTCACGGCACCGCTTTTCACCTGCGCAGTGTCGCTACTGAAAGATCTCAAACACGCCAACATCGTGACGCTCCACGACATCGTCCACACCGACAAGAGCCTCACGCTGGTGTTTGAGTACCTGGTAAGGGAGCTTCAGTTCCCCTCCACTGTCCACTGCGAGGGGGACAAAAAAAAAAAAAATCCTCGCACACAACGCCGAGCTTCTGCTTATTTCTCCTGCAGGATAAAGATCTGAAGCAGTACATGGATGACTGCGGAAATATCATGAGCATGCACAACGTGAAGGTCAGGAATTGCAGTTTGGCCGTTTTCTTTTCATCCCCATCCATTTTTTTTTTCTCGCTCCTCTTTTTCCGAGCTCAGGAGATCAGATTTTCCTCACGGCGCGAAATCTCCTCTCCCGCAGGTCTTCTTGTTCCAGATTTTGCGCGGGCTGTCGTACTGCCACAAGAGGAAAGTTCTCCACAGGGACCTGAAGCCTCAGAACCTCCTCATCAACGAGAAGGGCGAGCTCAAGCTGGCTGATTTCGGTGAGGAAGGAGGAGGGTCGAGATTTGACACAGTCCCCCCCCCCGCCGCATATGAATGGCCTGACTTTGGTGTTCCGTCAGGTCTGGCGAGGGCGAAATCGGTCCCGACTAAAACGTACTCCAATGAAGTGGTGACTCTTTGGTACCGACCTCCCGACGTCCTGCTGGGGTCCTCGGAGTATTCGACGCAGATCGACATGTGGTAAAGACTTTAAAAAAAAAGAAAAAAAAAAAAGGCTTTTGACTTTCTCCGTTTGTATTCTTTTTTCCGAAATCTCAACGGCGACCGTTCGCTCGCAGGGGCGTCGGCTGTATATTTTACGAGATGGCTGCGGGTCGGCCGCTTTTCCCCGGCTCCACGGTGGAGGACGAGCTCCACCTCATTTTCAGGTTACTCGGTGAGGAGCCGTCTCGAGCCAGGGCAACCCCCCTGTACCCCCACCGCCCCCTCGCGGAAGCGCTCGCCCGTGCCGACCGTCTGCTTCCTCGTGTGATTGCAGGCACACCGACGGAGGAAAACTGGCCGGGAATATCCTCCATCGAAGAGTTCAAATCTTACAACTTCCCCAAATATAAACCTCAGCCGTTCATCAACCACGCCCCCAGGTACTCCACAGCATCTTTCTAGCAATTTTTTTTTAATCTATTTATGATTATGGCTCCGTCAAAAGTTTTCCTTCTGTTTTCAAATACACACACGGCAGCATTCAAACACAGACCTTGAGTAATAATGGGCCATCCGTCTTCACGTGAATGCGTGTGTGTGTGTGTGTGTAGCAAGACAGGAAATCCTGTGGAACATTGTGAAGGCAGCTGTCCGCTTCCTTCCCCCCCAGCGAGTCTGCGCCTTCCCATCAGCCTTTGCTGCAGGCAGCCATTAACCTGTTGTTGTTCTTTTTTTTGTTTTTTCTTGTCGCTTTCAGGCTGGATGGCGACGGGATCGAGCTGTTGCTGGCTTTCCTCAGAGTGAGCGTCAACTTCCCACACACACACACCATGATGTTAATTTCAAAAAGAACACTCGTACTTTTAATGCTTTAAAAAAAAAAAAAAAAGTGTCCTTGACTGAACACGAGTGTCCTGTTTGTCCGCTTCACAGTACGAATCCAAGAAGAGGATCTCTGCTGAGGACGCGATGAAACATTCCTACTTCAGGCATCTTGGGATGAGAGTTCACACGTTGCATGAGAGTGAGTGCGCATGCATCTGAACAACAGTGACTAAAAAAAAAAAAAAAAAAAAAGTCTTCAAAGGCGATGAATACGTGAATCGAAAAACACGAATTGAATGCTTATTTCAATTTTTTTCCCCCTCAAAGGTGTGCTAACAATACACAACATATGGGGAAAAATGAGACCCGTGATTGCCGGTTGATGTAGATCAGGGATAAGCAAACGGTGGCCCACTCTGAGTGGCCCCTTGATTAATTTTTTTTTTTTTTTTTTTTTTTTTTTTAATTTTCATTTTTTCTTTTTTCTTTTTTTTTTTCTGGTCAAAGGTGTGCTAACAATACGCAACATTTGGGGAAAAATAAGCCTGTTTTTTTTGGGGGTTTATTTCTTTTTCAAAAATTGTGCTAACAATATGCAACATTTGGGGAAAATCAGCCCCCTGTTTTTTTTTTGGGGGGGGGGGGGTCAAAGGTTCGGCTTGGTATTTTTAGTTTTTTCTTGGGGTCATTTTTTTTTTTTAATGGGGCCCTGCCGAAATCAAACCAAGTTGCTGGAGACCGCGTGCGGCTATCTTTCAGGTGTGTCCATCTTCACATTGAAGGAGGTGCAGCTGCAGCGAGACCCCGGCTACAGGAACTCCTCGTACCCGGAGCCAGGTGACTTTGATTTTGCCTTGCCGCGTCCTTGGAAGGAAAAATATCTCCCGCCGTTGAGGTTTGACGCGAGCACCCTTCCCCTTTGCTTCCAGGCAACGGCAAGATCAACCGCAGGCAGAGCATGCTCTTCTAAAAAGGACGGGGGGGGGATACCTTCATCATCGCCCTCTCACCTGACCGACCTTTCTCGCATGACACAGTGACCCCCACCCTCCCTTTTCCCTGCTCCCCCAACACACACGCATTCACATGCGCACCACCTGTCTTGAGTTAGGTTGACTTTTTCAATTGGTGTCTTTATTTATTTCCAGACATGAGAGGGTAGGGGTTGTTTGCTGCTAAAGTACTACTGTATGTATTTAACACACCCTGTGTATGTTTGAGTGCGCGCGCGTGTGTGTGTGTGATGTGAATTTGAGCCTCCAAGCATGGTTGAGCAGTTGCTAACGATTGCTGTTTGACCCCCCCCCCCCCATTTATTTTGTTTGCAAATTCCACGGGTGGCGTCCAAGCTGTGATTGAAGTTGTTGGGGACCACTTGCGACATTTGTTTTAGAGAATCGAGTTCCAAGGTCTGAATTTGGTGGGTGGACACTGAAATATGGGAAACCATTTTTTTTTCTTGGTTTTTTTTTTCCGTTTTGGGAAGCGGCCGAGTCAGATCGAATTTGAGCAAAATTTGGAGCGTTGAGGCCACACTGGAAAAAAAAAAAAAAATCTGAAGTTGCAATGCAATGACAATAATTTGCGCCTTTTGAAGAAAAAAAAATAGTGACATGAAAATGCCAGCGCAAATAATATGAAGACAAGTTTTGTAAAATTCAGATTTTTTTTTGCAAAATACGATGACTTTATTGTTGTAAATTGCAACTTTATCTCTTGTCTCTTTCAAATTTTTCCACACAATACTACAACTTGCAATCTGACCATTTTTTTCTCCTAATACTCTTGAATTTACTCTCTGAAAATTCCAGCTTTTTGGGTCAAAATATTGCACCGTTATTTTGATAAAAAATTATAACTTTTATTCACACTACATGACCACTTTCTTCTCTGTAAAATGAAAGACTTTTTTTAACTCTCATTTTCCGACTTTATTTTGTGATAATTTATTCTTGTGACATTCCAACTTTTTCCACCCCTCATGACATTCTTGAAAGATGACTTTTTTTTTCCTCGTAATGCTGTGACTCAGTTCTCTTAAAACGCCAGCGACTGTGACGTCGTTCGTGTGCTGTACAAATTTTGCAGTGCAAAAACTTGACGACTTTCCTCGTTACAATTCTTGCAACATTCCATCATACTTCCTCATAATGTTATGACGGCATACTTGAAAGATGTTTATTTTTTTTCGCTTGGAATATTCCATTTGTACATTTTAACTTAAAAAAAAGACTTTTTTTTCCTCATATAATCAAGTCTTACGTCTTCGAATATTCTGACTGTTCTCACGCATGTACACTTTTTTTTTGTTTGTGTTGTTTTTGTTTTTTTGTCTTGTGAATTATCTTTTCAGTGTGACCCCAACACTCCAATTTTAGTTTTACAAAAGAAAAAAGAAGAGGTCTCAACAAGCAGGATTCTTGGAAGAAAGCAGTGGAGAGTGGCAAAGTGGCTTCAGGGAAGTTTTTTTTTTTTTTTTTCCCTTTCTTGCCATCAGTGCAGTAACTTTGTGGTGAACCTGCACTATATATATATATATACATGTATATATATATATATATATATATATATATATATATATATATATGCAGGCGTTGACTAAGTGTACCTAACAGTATTAAGATGTGTTCTCTACGTCTGTGACCTTTTCAATTTTTGCGTGAACTTTTCCTCGGGGCCGCCGCGGTATAAATTTCTCCACACGCTCCCCGACCCGCTCTTGTGGTTTTCAGTTACATTTTATGTGGAAGTCTCACAATTCTTACACTCCCAGCAGCAGAGTGTAAAAGATAGAATGACCCCGGGGAATGTATGGAGGAGATGCGAGTGTCTGTAAAATGTCCGACATACTGATTCCCAGTACATGAAAAGTGCAGTAACGACTACTACAACTTGTTGTTTGCAGCTAATGGTGTCCTAATCCCGTAAGCACACTGTATTTGTCTTTTAACAGGTTAGATGCAAATATATGACAGCTTGTTTGTCATGGGCAAAAGTAAAAACCTATTTTTTCTACAAATACCTTGTCATTCTGATGTCGTCTTTTTAGCCATGACGCAAATAATGTAGAAGGGGAGAGTCACAAAAGAAAGAAGTGGGATGCTGTTACGATTAACTGCAAACTCTGATGGTGTCCGTATATTTTGAAATGAATCGCAGTCACGTGCATGACAGGAAAGTTCTTAACGCCGCTTTATTTATCATTGTACAACCTTTAAAAAAAAAAGTGTGAATGTCCTCACTTTGATGTGGGCACGTGCGAGAGAGTTTGTGTGTATTATGTGTGTACAACAACAATGTGCGCCTGCTGCATGCAAGGCCTGCTGTGTTTGTGAAACCACACTTGAGATGCCTGTGAACAGTTGCTGTGTGCGCGCGCGTGTGTGACTCTTTCTACTGGATTTATTTATTTCTCATAACCATCGCAAAGTAAATTGAATCTGTTTTCATATAACAAGTCTGCGTTTGTTCTCTCTGGATGGCATCGTAACTCGGAGGCGGTTCGAATATTTTGACGGCTCTCTGGATGAGAACGACTCGAAACGGAACAGGCCCGGAAAAAAAAAATACAAATGAACGTTTGTCATGAATGACCACGAGGGGTCGTCAGAAATCAAATGATTGATTTAACCGGGTTCTTCAGTTCATCTTTTTCTATGTCGAGACAAACTCTTGAGAAAAACACTTTTATTTCCTATAAAAGAATCATTTTTAAAAAAGCATTTCATAAGCATTTGTATATCATAGCAAATAGGGTGAATTATATAAGGCACAACCGATGTAAGGCATTGAAAATAACACACATAAAAATGATTAGCATTTTGCAATAGCTTTTTTCTTTGCGCACCCGAATGTAAGCATGTGCATTATTTCAGAACAAAGGAATTGTTTCGGAGGTGGGGGAAGCCTGTACAACTGCTGTGTCAATGTCACTTGACTGGTTTACAAACCCAGTTGCGTCTCCCAAACATCACATTTTCACAAAATGAAAATTGCTGGCCTTTCCAGTTTTCTCAAACGTCCCGTGTGATATGTAAAATGACTGTCTTACCCCTTTTTTTCCCCACCTAAAAAAATATATAAAAAGACAGTTTCAGGTTTTTTTAAAGGCTGATTGGCCCAGGTCTCCATTAACAAGACTTGTGGGAGGAGATCAGCAAAGGAGAAGAAATGTCCGCATTGTGCCAAGGCAGTGGAATGGCTCCATTCAACAAGGTTGGGAACTGCGCGGAGAGACAATAGCGAATTAAAAAAAAAACAAACAAACATCTTTTGTTCATTAAAATAGAAGTGTTGGTGTTACCTGGAAGGTGGGATGGCTCTGCAGCTGGGCTGGGCTTGGAGGTCCCACCGGACTTAAATTGGACCAGAAGTGGACGTTGGACAGCAGCGGATTGGGGGTGAGCAGTAGACCAGATGGCGTCTACAAAGCAAAAAAGCAAAGCCGCAGGGTAAAAATATGAAGATGGAAAACTCGTGTTTACTTTGGCATCAAGTACAGACAGACAGTCAGGAAGTCGGGCTGTATGGCTTGCACTACTTACTAAAACCAGCAGAGGGCGTCGTTAAACGGCGCACGACTGATTTTCAGCTCAGCGACATTCGAAGAAGACTAAGCAGGAAATAAACAGGAACCGCGCCAAGTTTGGTAAGTTATGAGCTTGGTTACCGACGATAATTTATTCCTACTCCTCGACTTTTAGATTTTCTGTATCCTTAAGATGTTTATTTTCCACGTAAGTAATTGAACTGCAACTTTTCGAGTCGTTTCGTCGAAAAGGGAGCTCACTAGCAAATTGCTTAAAAACGCCAGGTTTTTTTTCCCCCCCCCCTCCTCAAACGCAAAATGGCGGCTCGTCATGTCATGCCCTCACTGCCGAGTTAAGTCCAATGTAAGTGTGGCTTTGTTGCCAGTAACCCTTCTGGAACATATGGCATCACTTATAAACCTCCTCCCCTTTCCCATTTCCTCCCCGACTGAGAGTTTCCTACTCGCACATGCCTTCTCCCTGCATTGAGAAATATGTTCCACACCATTTTGTACCTGTGTAGTCAGGAAAGCTGGAGTCAAGGAACCAGAGGGAAGTGCTGGACTTTTCAGGGCAATGGAGACAAGGTCATTTCCTGTCACGAGGTGGGACGAGGATGAAATTTCCAGGTCTTTGGGTTTCCTGAACTTGGAACGTTCTCGTTCCCTCTGACCCGATGACAGGTTTAAAGGCACATCGCCCTGTTCGGATTCATCAGTCACTGCAAGGACGGGACTCTGTGGCGAGGAAGAGCGAGCCGGGGAGTTTTCAGTCACAGAAGGGTGAGAGGAATGGCCACGGTTAGTGACGAATCGGATGACTGTGGAGCTGTCGTCATGGCGATCATATCTGATGTCTCTCTTAATGGAGTGGGGTCTTTCTAGGGTGTGACGTAGAGAGCCGGTGTGGAGGTATCGGTGCCTCCCATCTTCGTCCTCAGCTTCCGACGGCACACTTCTGCAGTCTTCGGTCCTCCGGCCGGCCTCCACGGCAGCCGGGTCCATCTTCAGAATGTCGGGGAAATACACAAACTTGTACACAAACTTCTGGCCGATCACCTTCTTGATGATATTCTGGAAAAAGTAGCAAGATTTGGTTCGTGGAGGGACTCGACACACACGACTTGTTGTGTCCGCACGCACAAATACGAGCTTACTTTGTCGTAGTAGTAGCGCAGGGCCCGGCTCAACTTGTCATAGTTCATGTTGCTCTTGTTCTTCCGCAGGCCCCACAGCTTGGCCACCTCCTCCGACTTGAGCAGCTTGAACTCGCCGTCATCCGACGTCCAGCAGATGAGATGTTTGTGGCTTTGGTCGAGCAGCAGCTGCAGGAGGAACTGCCACAGTGTACTGGAGCTCTCCATGATGGCAGCGATCTGGAAGGAACAACAACTGGTAACAGCATTTGATAAAATTCATTTCCACCCCTGTCTATGAAACATAATTTTAAATATACATCAGCATTTTTTTAGGAATATTTGGGGGTTTCTAATATATGAAATTGCATTTCAATGGCCGTCGTCGGATTAAGGGTGGTTATTGAGACATGAGAGCCCCAAAAAATGAACCAGGTAAAAACAATATCTGCTTAACATCAAACATTCCTGCAGTGTGCGATGAATAAATAAAGAGTTCATTTGTTAGCAAGAGATTGTTGAATGTTGTGGCGCTCCATTGTTTCAGATTGGAGTCCTTTGGTGATTGAGCGCACACAAACACACACACACACAAAATATGTTTTACACTCGGAACAGCTTCACTACCTTCATACAGAGATCTTCACTTGAAAAACGGGTACAAAATTACCACTTTGGCATCGGATAATACCTTTGAATAACGAACAAAGGCCGCCATGTGACCTATTGTTTGATTGTAGGATCATGTGAACGCCGCAACTTCATTAGCTTGTTTGCTATGCAAAATAGGAAACAAGCCTGCACCTGGACTGTGCACCTTTCAAATCCTGGCGACTCGCATGCAAGAATAGACTGAAGCGCATGCCACTAGCGTGAAAAATCTAGCGATCTATTTTATTTATCGTGCGTTGCCAAGACAACTAGTGGACGCCATGCTTGACATGTAGTTTACTCTGTCATCACAAAAGAATAAAGAAAAACCTTCTTCTTGTACTTAGTAAAGTGGTTCCAGCGAAAGTATACAGTGCGTTCGAGTAGTAAATTGTGGGAGGTGCCTCGTGGACACATCACGTCATTTTACCCGTTGACATATCTATGCACAAACGAAAAAATTGATCACAGGAATGTTGTTTAGTTAGTTAGTCCGCAGTATGTTTGCAATATCGTATGTCATGAAATATGATGATGGATTGCGAAGGGGGGAAAAAAAAAAAAAAAAGTTGACTCTCGTTAGTGTTTGAGCATTTAGCTCGACCCCACTTAGTGAGAATCGCCCTTATTTGCGAATTGTCGCTATTCGTCTAGCCCGTGCGAAGTAGACGTGTCATAATTTACACTCATATGCTGTTAATACGACGAATGCAGTGATTCCCCACATTCCAAAATGATTTTATTTACGCCACTTGTTGTATCTGTGTTCATCTATCTATGCCAGTGATGTATAGTGACAGGAAGAACCATTCAAATCAATGCCACAAGATGGCGTAAAATGCCAATGAACCCGTTGCCGTTCACACTGCGGAAATCGTGTTCAACTAATTTGAGACGAGACCCTCATTATTTCAGTACGTGTACTTTTTTTGTGGCATTTTTGTTGAGTGGTGTGCAGTAAAAAAAAAAAAAACTTGCCCTTGGCTAAGATTAAGAAATTTCCCATTAGTCGTAAAGTTACCACATTTCTTCAAGTAGTGGCCTCCACTCCAACAGATGCCCGACCCTAAATAATTACGCATTTGGATGAATAAATGCTACATATCAAATTAACTCCAGCGAGCAGGTGGTTTGTGAACGATCCCGCCGCTTGTCACGGGTCGATGTCGTTTTTCTGACGAGCACGGCAGAGAGCAGACGTGCTATCTGCGATGCTGAAATCCGCAGTAGAAATTGAAAGCGCTGCTGGTCGTGTACGGCGAGTAGTTCGAAGAAGTGCATCCAAAGTGATATTTACACAGATTTATATAATGACCGTATTTTAGGGAGGGAGGGGGAGGGGGGGGATCCAAGCATTTTCTGTCGTGTGGACAAATCCAATTTGTCTCACGGTGAATAAATGCCCGGTGCTTTCTGTGCAAACGCAGATTCCAAAACAAGTTGGCACACAGTAATGATAGGACAGTCCTTACAAAAATCTAATGCAGTCTATTACAAAATGTAAAACCAGTAAATATTCACATCCTGGTATTACTATGTTATTACTATTCATGATGCGTGCACTTGTCTCCATGGTAATATAGCCGGACTTGGCCAGTGGCCTCGTCGAACAGGCTAGTTTACCTGTCTGCCTTTGTGTTTACTCGTCTCCCGGCTCCTTAACTCGCCTCGTCGACGAGAGCCATTCAAGACGAGCCCTTAATTACGCCATTACAACTACATTGCAATTTTTTTGCAGCCTCCACTTTCTGACAAAAGCGACCCGAAACAGCCGCCGCAACCAAAGAGGCCGCCATCTGAGGAGTGGTTCGCCATTGCCATCATAAATCATAATTAATACGCCCTTCCTCCTGTGCTTTTTCCTGTTTGCGTTCTGTGTTAACTGACGGAGGAACTTGCAACTTTGTGTGTGGGCCTAAAACGAGCACTTCCTGTCATTCAGGGGCGTTTTCCCGGATTTAAAGCCGTGCCTCAGAGGAAGGTCTGACTTCCTGTCACCAGAAAACACACACACACACACATATACGTATAATGCATTTCTGTGTTGGCGCTTGTCAGTTTGAGGTTTGGCTTCTGATTTATGTGTTTTCAGAATAAAAGTGGTCCTCTCCAACCAGTTGACTGGCGAAAGCTGCTACGAGCTTTTGAGTCACAGGAAGTTTACTAAGCCTCATGTGATGCATAATTAAGATCCTCCTACACTCGAGCACACCAAATAAGAAGCCTCTTTTTTTTCTAGTGCCGTTTTGAAAATATACTGCACGTTTTTGTGATGACTCATTTGATTCGTCTACAAAGTCCAGACGACCCAGAATCTAAAAGTGCCTATATAAAAAAAAAAAACTTACCCCCCCCCTCTCCCCTCCACTAGTCGTTTTTATTAAATATATAATTCGGAATACCTCAAAGACTCTGGAAAATGTAGTTTTGCGCGACTTTTAGCGTGTTCAAAACAACCACGCGCCGCATTCGCGTCATTTTTCAGGGGATCGATCATATTCGAACGTGATTGAAAGAAAAACGGCTTTTAAAGACGTCTTTTTTTTTTTTTTTGCTGTGGCACAACAGAAACGGACAGAACACGCGCCTACCCTTGTTTATGGCACGGCTGATCCTCTTCTTTCGGTCCGCCCGGATGCGCGTAAAGTCTTTTAAAGCAGGCTGTGTGTCTTGTTGTGTTGTGGCTCCATGCCGCTGTGCGCGAAAGCGGATCCGCGGCTCTGCTCTGTGCTTTGCTTACCCACAGAGCAGGAAGTCGGGACGCGCAGACGGACATCGGGCGCACTTCCTCTGGCGCATTATTCCCGTCTGCGAAAACGCACGCACGCACGCACACACTCAGGCGAAACGGGCGCGCGCGCACAGGACGCCACTCGGCGAGCTGACGTCATACTGTTCGCTTCCTGCTCACCGGGATGGGTTCCTGTTACACACGCGCAACGCATACACACACACTGTTCGCCTTCCTGTAACATGGGGGAAAAAAACAACACCACTTCACACACACTATAACTGTTTTTGTTTGTTATAAGAAACCAAACAAACCAAAAACTATCACATTTCGTGAAACGAAATTAATTACCTAGCTTGACTTAGTGTTACTAATTTTACAGTACAGTACGCTCCTATACTTGCATTTATTCTTGACTTGGACTTTGTCTCCCCCTTGCGACTACTCGCTGGGCTGAATACGAGTATAATAGTCGATTAATTTAAGTTTAGGGAAGCTTAATTGTGTACTTGTGGATGAAAAGCGGCACAGGTATCGTGAAAAAAAATATCAGTAAGACAGTTGTTCTTGGTCTGACTCGTGACAAAAAAAGATGGATATCGAATATAAACCGCAGTGCAGTACTACTAGTAATAGTAGTTGAGCACAGTAAGGGCCATTTATTGCATACTCGTCTGTCAAAAAAAAATGGTACTAGTAGTGGAATCATAAGCTTTAAGTGAAGACCGCTTTCCCCTAGTGCGACCTCGAGATTGTACGACTCTTTATCCGTTGAGTACAGAAGTTATTGTGACATTTTCCACAGACTTCATTGCAGTGTTTATTATATATAGATCTTAGCACTGCGATAAACTTAAATTGTGCGTGTTTTTTTCCTCTTCATGTTTGACTACAATTTGGTTCAGTGATTTTTTTTCGTTGTCCTTCTCTTTCAATTTCTTCTGCAGTTGTTTGGGGGCAGCGCCAGTTTGGTCTGAATTGATTGCGCCCTCTGCTGTTCATGAAGAACATTTCAGTTGAAGGTCCATATCCGGATTCGGGTATGAGTCGCGTTCAAAGTACCTCGAAAATGGAAAAATATTAATTAATTTTGCGCATAAGGGCAGCTACTCGCATACATTCGACGTTTCCGTATATTAAATGACTTATGCAGCCATGTACTCAAATAAAAGTGATTCTTGAACAAAATAGGACCGAGTATCATGCGAATCTCTTCCCCTTTTTGTAACTGAAACCTTTCCGAATTCTCCCCGTCTTTGAACGCACCATTTTACGACAGGCAAACATGGGACTGTCACCACCCAAGCGAGACGAGGACCTCGCGAAATTCAACGAAACCACGTTGTCTTTGCCAAAACACTCGTACTGGTTCGACTTTTGGCTCTTCATCGCCTTTGATGTCGTGTTTTTTCTGATTATGTATTTCCTCGTACCCTAAAATCGTAAGTGGAGACGTTTGTGGCTTTGCAAGTTAGTGGGCGTCTACGGAAGTGGCTAAACTGGTTAGCGTGTTTTGAAATACTGTATACTCTTGATAAACGTAAAGAGTAAAACCCATAATAATCATAGTATTATATCTTATCATCACCGAGTACAAGTATCTGATTTTAGAATTTGCCCTGAATTTAACTGGTCGTTTTAATTAAAAGTAATTTCTGCAAAGAACTGAATTTCAAAGGGTGCCAGCATGTTCCCTTGAATATGTTGAGCTCCTTGTCTTCATTGTTGTTTATTTTTATTTTTGACTGATTATATATTTTTTCTTTCCAAGGGTGACCATGAAGCGACTCTGAAGACTGAACATGGGTTACTAGTCTTGCTCATCCTAATGGCAATGCTATCTCATCTTTCGACTGAATTCAACACAATACGACATCTGTGTTTTAATTCAAACACTGAAAATGTGCCTTTTTTTAAACACTTGTTTTCATTGACACGTAATGTCGCACTGTGTGTGGTTTCTGCGAACTGGACATCTGGAGGACTACTGCATGAATGATGGATTCATATCCCACTTGTGATGATGAAAGTTCTGTTCGAACTCCCATGACTCCATTATTTGTCAGTAAGGCGCATAAAATGTGACAGTAATGATTATTACTGGAAGAAAATGGCAGTACATATGTGAAAGTGATGTGTTAAGTATTGAATTAGGTTTGTTTTGCGTTTTCATTTCGCCTTTACAACCCGCTTAACCCCCCCCTTTCAAAAAAAAAAAACAAAAAACAAATGAACAACCCTCCAAAAACGTGTCACATGGGTGAATGTACTTGTAGTTTTGACGTCATTCGGTGATCAGTCCGGGTTCAGTGACGACAACAAGGCTGCTTGCTGAGCGTGATGCCATGTTAAGTCATCCAGACACATTGGAGAAATTTGCACATGGTGAAATAAATCACTTAAAATGTATGATTGATTGGGATTATTTTTTTATGGCCACAAACGTATACCTGAAGAGTGAGCGTTAACGTTTTGCACTTTGTTTCTTCCCAAAGTTGAGTCCATTGACAGGGCAGCGCCGACACACACAAAATGGCGGACGCGTTGACGTATAGCCGTTTCCCAGCAAAGGGGCAACCTCCTCAAGCACTTGTCTATGGTCTTCACTGAAGGAGTGGATATAAGTCGATACGTTGGAGTAAACGTCCAGAGCTAACCTGTAAATGTCGAGGTCTTTTGAGTGAGTATTCGAAACAACGCTCTGTGTGTGTATTAAACATGCTATGGCATATTTATGCCCTTTGGTCGTTGTTGTCACTTATGTCCTTTAGCAAATTAATGATACAGCCTTAATTATTTGGGGGTAAAAAACATTGTCGATGACGATATTGTCTTCGGTTCTTTATTATCATTTATTTACTTAACGTGCCAATAAACACGTGATTCTGACCTAGCCAATCAACGAGGGTTAATGGCGTCTCTGGGCGCAAATACCGTCCTGCGTTAACAATTCGTCAGATTCCCCCACACCAGAGTTAAATCGCACACGATTATTGTAGAAAATGTCCCGAGCTTTTTTTAGATAACATATCAATCATTTTCTGGCACAATACTACATTTAGTTATTTGCGCAAAACTAGTTTTTTTTAGAACTTGGAAAATCACATGACTCGTACCAGCCAATCAGCATTGATCATTAACGTCACTCGGCGTCATTGCAGCATTCGACCAATCAACGGAGGTTTGTCACACGACACACTTCCGTGTTTTCCCGAAGGCAGCGATTCAAACTTGTCGCAAACATTTCTCGCACGATTTCGGTTGTAACTCCGAAAATAATCACAGTAAGTCGCCGAATCTCGCATATTTTGTGGTTGAGGACTGACGCTAAGTGATGATATAAGTGCGGTTCGCAGGGTTTCGCGTTGGCGGAATTAAAACGAGCGAAATGGCTGAATGGAAAACGCGCACTTCCAAACTTTTGTTTGCTTGCGTCTTTTTCTCAAATGTGTATCCAAAACGACGAAATATGCATACCTGTCGCAATAGACATTCGTTTAGCCTCATTCAATTACTTCATACTTTGCATTCTGTCTGTACCTATACGTGTCAAAATAAACATGCATAAATAGATTGCGACCTATAATGTTGACATTCACAATGACGCTGATGCTAATGTACTATGTTTTCTGATTTATTTTGTGTAGATATTTTTGCGGCAAAAAGGCTACCGCTGACGAAGATGATGTGGCAGACCCAGACTTTTTGTACCGACCACCACCATCGTCATTCCGACAGACGTCGCCGACTGTGGATGACTTCCAAGTGGTACTCTCCGAACCCTGAACTCATTGCGCCCAAAAAAACTTGCATGCAAGTCTAAAAGACAATCATAGTGAAATTGTCACTTATTGCGACCATCTTGATGAAAATATGACCAGACTATTGATCAGCACCTTCCTAGCTTGATGTCATAAAAAGCGTTGAGGATGCTTCCCAATCTCGTAAACAGGCGAGTTTAACAATTTTCCAGCTCTTCTTAATACTAAGTCAGAATCGCTCTCGGGATTTTTAGGTGGGAAGTTTTTGCCCAATCCAAATTCCGAACTTTCATAACGTTCCTAATCTTTAACCAACAGTGTTTTCTAGCTGAGCAATTATACCAAAATCTTGACTATGCTCTCCCTAAATACAGTGCATAGTGCAGAATGCCACCCCTTATGCACCCCTCCAAATCAGTCCCAACCAGGGCTGAATTGTTTTGAAAAATAATCTGTCTCCCCTCCGACATTACAAAGTATTTATTTTTTTTACCAAAACTAAGCAACTTAACCACAAATTTTGAAAAGGCAGTTCATGAAGTTCAATCTGGGTTGTGTGCTTACTAAATATTTTGACTTGCAGTCTTTCAGGCGTTCACTCCGGCAAATTCACCAAACATTACCAACCAAGCGTGGCCGAAAAATCACTCAGTGCAGTTGTAAGATGACACCAGGTACATCTGTGCCGTCATAACTTCCGGTTTTCTTGCTTTGTGAAACAATCTAAACACGTTAATTATACTAAAGCAGTATAGAACAAAATGACCGAAAAATAGATGCCATAAAATGTACTGTAGTTCAAAAAAATAGAGCCTCACTAACCAAACGAAGCAGTCCAGCGCTGCAGTTACCCAAATGTCCGCCAGAGGGAAGTATTGAATCGTATCTCGTGCTTCTCCCTTTGACTTGACTCGTCTCAGTTCGTGGGCCACGCCCACTCCAATTTGTCCTCAAGTTGAGTGGACCGGTGTATTCACGGCCTAACTACGCTATCAATAACAATTATTGATAATGGTGTTGCCACTTATGAGCAGTTTGAAGCCTCTCGACAAAAATCAGCCTGATTTCAACCATATTGTGATTCGGTCAGCTTACTGATCACAGTTGGCATACACTGTGTGCACCTTTTTATGAAACGACTTACAGTATGTTCCGTCCTTCCAGGAGCCTCGAGTCCGAAGCGGCCCGCCAGGGGATCCAACCCGGCCCGGCCCGTGGGGATCATCGTCCTGCCTCTCAGGTGAGTGGCCTTTCTCAGGGCCAGGAGTGTTGGTACTCGTGTGATGCGTGCATGTCGCCGAGAGGGGAGATTTTAAAAAAGAAAAAAAGATGGCTTCCAATCTATGCACGCAGTAAGAAACTAAAATGCAACTCCTGTAGAAGCAGCGGCGGTACGTATCACATCACGTGTTGTTTGTGAAGTCATTTCAAATGCGTAGTTAAAGACAAGTTTGTGAAGTTACTTATTTGCAAGTAGGGCTGGGCGATTACAGCAAAAAAAAAAAAACGGAATAATCGTAATTATTTTTTATTTACATTGACGTATTGGTTAATTAACATGATTAGGCATTCATTAATTTATTTATTTTTAAGTATTTATTGAGCTACCAAATAAAAATCGTGATTTGTCATTCATTATTTTAATTATTTAAAAAAAGTATTTATTGAGCTACATAATAAATGTGATTTATCATTCATTATTTTAATGAATTAAAAAAAAGTATTTTTTTAACTACTAAATAATAAACGGGATTTGTCATTCATTATTTTAATTAATTTTTAAAAAGTATTTATTGTGCTACCAAAACAAATTGAAAAGGAACAACAAATTCATAACAGTAAGCAAGTAAAATAATAAAATACCGGTGAAATGTTATTGATGATGTAGTTAACGAAAAGTAACAAAAAGATGAAAACTAAAATGGAAATATTTTTTGTTTAGTGAATAAAATAAAAACAGTAATGGTTAAAAAAAATAATTCAAACGATGGCTTAGTAAAATAAAAGTAGCGATAATTATGGCAAGAATGTACTTTTTCGTCTTTGTCAATTAATATTAATATCAATGAATAAAATAATATCATGCGCCTTTGGAGTTTATTTGAAATTTGGTTTTTCCGATATTGCTTAGACCGGGTGAAGGAAAGTCAAACGGTTGTTTCAGAATTCAAATTATTTAATCCGACACTCAACAAATGCTCCATTGATTAAGCAAAAAAAAAATTAAAACAAGATGAGGCATTAAAAAGAAGCTAACACGTGCACTAAACAGTAATTCATGCAAACTGAATTAAAAAAAAAGTCAAAATGAAAAAAACAGGCACAAAAAAATAGGAAACTTTATGCGCTTGCTACAGCTACATGAAACAAACTTTTTTTCTTCCGTTACGATGTTTTGGTAATCATGACAAGGCAAAATGTAAATTAAAAATGGAATAATCGCCCAGCCCTATTCGAGACATGTTGTTGGAAAGGTTTTGGTGAGATGAACAAGCTAATTTGAGGCATGCTAATTAGTTTGAGGCGGACAGCTCATTGAAGTTAATATTTTGCACGTAATATTTTCAACGTTGTTGAAAGGGAGGGCTAATAGATTTTATTTTGTCTTCAATTTTTTTCCTTAGTTTCACTTTGTCAGTACGCATGTGAAGACTGATTTAAAACTGCAACCAGCTCTGAGGACGTTTTGCATTGTCAACTGCAGTTTTTTTAATGAGTAGATGTGTTGTTGTTGGCGGCGTTGTCCACTAGAGGGCACCCTGAGCACTCAAAATGGCCGCCAGCAACAACAGTGACTTTAATTCTGGAGAAAGGATGCAAGACGCTGTCAGAGCAGTTTGGAGCTTTTATTTTTAGTCTTGACAGGGGGAAAAAAACGAAGACAAAATAAATCTTATTTGCTTTGTCCACATATTCACAGTAAGTGTAAAATAGAAAGTTAAATCTGATGACAATAGTTGCTTGCTCGACAAAGCTGACATCGTTTAGCTAGTCTTGAAAAACAATGAGCAGTCCACCTCCAACTATTTGCGTGCATCAAATTGAGTTTGTTCATCTGATTAAAACATTGCATCGAAAATGTCTCAAGTCACTTCACAAACTTTGTTTTTATTACTTATTTGCCCATGATATGACTTCACAAACAACATGACATGATACATACGAGTGTGTTGCTTTACAGTTGTAACATCCAAGTTTCTTATTGCATACATAGATTGGAAGCCATCTTTGTTTTCTCTCGGCTCCATGCATGCACCGCAAGAGTACCAAGACTTTGGGGGGGGGGGTCCGGCTCGACTTGGGCCCCCCTTGGCCCGGGGTGGGTGGAGTTGGGGCCCTAGAGGGGGCCAGCAATGGCTCTCTTGGTCCCCAACTCCACCCATTCCGGGCCAAGGGAGGTCCGGGGGCTCGACCCGGACACCCCTTGGCCCGCGGTGGGGGGGAGGGGATTGGGCGACTGGGGGGGCCAGAAATGGCCCCTTTGACCCTAACCCCGCCCCCCACCGTGGACCCAGGCGGTGCGGGGAGGGGCCCTCCCAGCAGGGGGGGAACCGGAAATGGGCCCGTAGTCCATCAACATCCTGCAATGTGAAACAAGGGGTGTACAGCTGTAGGCTCCACCCACATTTTGTGGGGAGGGGGGGAATTAAAAACGCTTTCCAACAGATACACTTGATGGTAGTACAGTTTTATTTGTTGCAACATTTTTTGACAGCGGCTCGTTAGTTGCTTGACATCCAGGCGCAGCTCCTGCGTCCCTCAAACGTCTCGCTCACCCGTTGCAGTTGCTCCCTCACCTCAGCTGGGGCGCCGTCCTCCTCCAGCTTGGCAGTGACCTGTGGGTGGTAGGGACAACATTAGTGTGTTGTGTCTACCTGCTCTTAACACACGTTTATTGCTGCCACGCTACCATTCACTACCGTACATGATTGCCACAGTTTAAAGTGGAAGTCGAGTTTCAAGTTTTCTTCGCACGCGTACGTTCTGTTAGTATTGTGTTTGTGGGAAATGAATTCACCCCCATTTTCAGCCACCCATGGAGGCAGACATGGGTGGAGACATGCTGCCTCCATGGGTGGCTGAAAATGGGGGTGAATTCATTTCCCACAAACACAATACTAACAGAACGTACGCGTGCGAAGAAAACTCGACTTCCACTTTAAACCGTGGTAAGTTTGACTTCTGCATTGGGCAGACAAAATAAAGCCGTTTTTTCCAATTCAGCTCACTGGTGGAGTCCTGTGAATGTGTCTTCTAAACCATTGGTGTCAAACTCAGGTCCTGGAGGGCCGCTGTCCTGCATGTTTTCCAAGTCTCCCTGTTGCAACACACCAGATTCAAATGATCAGATCATCAGCAAGCTCTGCGGAAGCCTGCCATCGAACCTGTTCATTTGGATCAGGTGTGTTGCAACAGGGACACTTGGAAAACATGCTGGACAGCGGCCCCGCAAGACCTGAGTTTGACACCTATGAAGGTTACAAGCAATTAGGCCAGATGTTGAGAAACCATTTCAAAGAAGACACACACAAGGGGCTCGGCCAGTGACCTGAACGGGAAGACATTTGTTTCGCCCAATACAGATGTCAAAGTTCGAGTGAACTAGCGTGGCAGCAATAAATAAAGGTGCACTGACCTCTGCGAAGTATCTCCGGATGGTCTTGTAGAGCTCCCGAAGCGCCGCTCCTTCGTTGAACTCGTTCTCGTGTTTCTGAGAGCAAGCAAACACACGCGGCGTGTCAGAACGCTTTTCTCGCCTTGACTGTATCTGTTTCTTTTGTTCAAGGTCACCTTTGACTCCTCCCGCAAGAAGTTGTGAAACTCGTCGCGGGTGATGGGCGGCTGCTCTCGGATCTGCCGGTAGTAGGCCTTCACCTCCTGCTTGAACTTGGGAATGTCTTTGGCGTAGAGCAGCTTGTTGGTGGGCGCGTGCTGCGAGACAGAAACGTTCAACGCGCTCGCCAAGGAAGCGGGCGGTCGGCGTTGCCGGCCGGCGGCTTACCTTGCCGAGCTGCGTGTCGCTGAGGGAGAAGGAGTCCATGAAGGCCTGAGCGGTGACAGACAAGCATCCGTCCATGTGGGGACTTTTGTCCATGTCGAAGACAAACTGGGGGTTCTTGAGGATGTTCACCCAGAAGCGCAGAGGTAAACTGCAAGTAGAGAGCGAATGCGAATGTCATATTTCAATGATCATACAAAAGCCCTTCTGTGAAAATTGTCTGGCCGACATTGATATGTGACAATTATTAATAAAATCAGACAGATGTATTATGATCATTTGCGGTCGTACTTCATCTCCAACATGTTTGGTGTTGCAATCTGAAATTTATGTGTGGAGGATTATAACTGTTCTGCACACGACAGCCTCATTTTTGAGATGTATAGTATGACTGTTTTAATATGACACGCATGGTATTAGGAAGACATTTTGACAAGGAGTAATCTTGAAAAAAGTTGAACCTCCATGGTAATAATTTTTAAATAAAATACATCCTGATTTATATAGCGCATTCACAACAGCATGATTATTCAGGGTCATTTTTTTTTTTATGACCCTGAATACTTGGACGTATTGTGTGTGGTTTTTTTTTTTGAGGACCATGGAGAGTTGGGCTTTTTTTAATTGATTTTTTTTTTTTATATGCTGCAAAAAAACGCCTAACAAAACATGGTCGATGTAATGCCGAAAAAAACACCTTATTATACATGGTTGTTTTAACTTTACGAAAAATTCCTTACTTTACGATGCCGTTTTTTTCAGCTAAAAACGCCCTACTTTACGATGCCATTTTTTTCGTGCCAAAAACGCCTGACTATACTA